TTGTTGAAATAATAATGATTCATTCAAAAAAGCTGCATAAAATATTGTTTGAACATTATTGTAATATTTATGCAGTGACAAATTGGATATTTCCAGTTTCATATTCATATTATTTTAATTATAATTAATAATAATAATAATAATTTTATACTGCTAAGAAGTTAAAGGTATAGTATGTTATCTGGCAAGTATTGGGTTGTTCAGAAAGTAATTTTGTTTTTTTTCCCCGTGGCAAAAACACAATATTTTTATAAATAACTATTTTATTGAATTATATATTGACCATTTTGGTCAAATACCTGTTGCCATCGTTTCTGGTAGTAGCATGATCCATGTTTAAAAAATTTTGATGTTTGCTTACAAAAAATGGATCCAAGTAATTTTTTAAACATCTTACAGTTTAAAAAATTTAAGACCAGAACAAATAATAATCTGAGAGTGCCTGATCTGGCAAATCCCATCTAAGATATAACAGTTTCTGACCAGTTACCAAACTTGTGTGAAATTTGACATTATCATGGTAAAACACTACACCTGTTTTGTTGATCAATTCTGGCCACCTTTTCTGTTTGATGATATTACTCAATTTGTTTACTCGATGGCAGTACACTTTCGAATCAATTGTTAAATTGTCTGGTAAAAGCTCCAAAAAAAAAATTTCCTTAAAATCCCATCAAAGAGAGCATCTCTCTTTAAGAACATGTGGAACCCATATATCAAGCTTTGAAACAAAACTAATTCATTTCAAGTAATAATAAACGGTTCAAATCAACAAATTTAATCTCTTAGTGATTTCACGTGTTGTTGTTTGGCAGTTTGCTTCAATCAGTACGTTTATTTTGTTTTCATTGGCTTCAACTGGCCATCAGAACATGGTTCATCTTCAATATTGAAATTGCCAGAACAAAATTTTGTAAATCAGTTTTGGCACTGTTTTTCTCTCAACACATCTCCACTATATGTACTGTACCACACTTTTTTCTTGCTTGAACAGCATTTTGATTTTTTGGTAATAAAAAAACAAAATATGCCGAAAATGATGCTTTAGATTTTCCGTATTTGATGGGACACCGAAAAAAAAATTGTACAGAATCAAACAAAATTTTTTACAAATAAGCCTTTAAGCTGTCAGCTGTCAAAATATATTAAAATGTGGTTTAAAATGAAATTGGCTGGTAAAAATACATCTAATTCTTTTAGTAGTAAAAAAACAAAATTACTTTTTGAACAACTCAATATAAAGTTCATACCTATATTTATTTTAGTTTTACTTATGTTTTTTGATCTGATATTTTTATATTAAACACATATATACCAATTTTCTCTGCTAATAAACTTTTTCTAACTTCTATTATTAACATCAATACAATCAGTTTTGCTGATTGTATTGATGAAACTTTAGATCAGTGTTTGTTGTTTTAAATTCGGTCTGAGGTAAACAATACTACAGTTTATTTTTATATCAGGCTTCAATATTAATCAATTTGTAATTAGCCATAATATAACTTGAAAACAATGTTGTAATTTAAACTTAAGTTTGGAAATTAAATTAAATTTTATAGGAGAATAGTTTTAATTGTACATTTGCTAATAAATTACTTCCAGTTTTTTACAAAATCATTAGAGCTCATAAGAGCCACAGGAAATGATTTATTGACATGTTTATACTGTATGTAGAGTATATGCAAGAAGTTTAGTTATTTGAACATCTTGTATTCAATAACTGAGAAGATATAGTTATAAAAAATCAATTTTATTTGTTAATGTAATGACAAATTACAGTATAATAAAAAGTTATACTTAACTGAAAAGGACTTAATGTATGTTAAGTTGTCATTATCATGCACTGTCTATACATTTACTTTGTGATGAATAAAACTATTTTGTTATTTGTCGAATTTCATTATTGTGTGTTTCTATAATATAGATTATCAGCTCATATTGATACTACCTGATTTAGTAGTAAAATGTATTGAAGCATACTGAAAAAGCAGACATGTCAGCATTTCTAATTAAATGAGATTAGAATTTAAGATTATAAAACAGGTTGTTCAACATTTCCAGAACCAAATGAAAAGTTCCTAAATAATTTGTGTTAATAGCTTATATAAATTTTATTTTTCTATTTGAATCAATATAAAAACAAATTGTAATGAGCTTAACATTTTATTGGTGTGTTCCTGAATATTATTGTAATTGCCAAATTATTGATTGTGTATATTAAAAATATAAGATTTTGGAAATGTTATTTTTTAATCAGCATTTAAATTTTATACAGCAATGAATATTAAAAATATAAAATTAATTTAGAATTTAGTATATAGAATTAGCATACCTGTATCAGGTATAATATTTTTAGCTCAAGCAATTCTAACTATGAAAGATAATTATTAAATATAAATTATGTTGGTAAATTATCAAAGATGGTAAAAAAGATTTTAACCTGTTGGGGTTATAATATCTGCTTCCAATAATCATTAATTAGAGTAATAAATTTTCATGTTTTATCTTTTTAAAAAATTTAGTTTAAATTCTTTAGGATATTTCTAGGATGCTTTTTATCTAGGATTTTTCTGAAAAATATTGTTCTAAACTGAATTTCTGTTCAAAAATCCTGATGAAGGTTTATTAATCAAGCTTGAAAATTAGTTTGATTAAAGATTAAGTTGCTGGAAAAGTATGTAAGCTAATTTTTGTCTCTCTAGTTACTGTCCAGTTTCAGCTTATACCAGTATCTGATCTCCATAGCAAAATGCATAAAAAACAAACAAGTATTTATAGATTGCATGGAAATTACTCTGCACGAATACAAAATTTGAAAATTTTATCTGCAATAGGTATTTTTAATGCAGTACTTATAACTTTGTTTAAAGCATTACATCACCCATACCATCAGCTTGATCAATCAAGATGATCAAGAATTACACCTCTGGTAAGGTACATCATCATCACTTTCAGATTCATCTTCAACTGATTCAGGTGGCTGTCATTTGCAAAGTATTATTACTTTGAAAGTGAATGGCTCTTTTCTACTCTTTTTTCTGATTGATTCATCTTCAGCATTTTTTATTTAAAGTACAGTACAGTGGTACCTTGACTTAAGAATTTAATTCATTCCATGGTGGAACTTGTAACTCAAATTACTCATATGCCAAATCAATTTTCCCCATTGAAATGCCATTAATTTATTCTGGACCTTCCAAAACACCTCAAATTTTTTTGTTACATATTTTTAAATGTTAAAAAAAAATATACTTATAAATAAAAAATATTGTATAAAAACACAATAGAATGTACTGCAATAAATTGGTTTTGCGGATGTTGCAACATTCGCTACATAGATAAAAAAAGAAAAGATGGAAAATTCAAGAAATGAGTGGCGTCGCACACAACATGGAAATGAACTAATGCCTATGCAATTCAGTCATGTATTTTTCTATAAGGTGGCCTGTTGGACATTGGAAGGGTAACAAAAATGAGAAAATTACAGCAGTTTTCATCTTTTTCTTAATCTATGGTTTGCTGTGGCAATTGCTGTGCCAACTAGTGGTGAGGTATCTGAAGCTGGGGTATCATAATCCAAATTTTAGCTCTCAACTCAAAGCAAAAGATTGGCTGAAAGACAGCTCATTTATCAAAAAACTCTCAAGTTGGGTCATTTGTAAGTCAAGGTACCACTGTACTCATTTCAGATAGCTATGTGTTGATAAAAAAAATTAGGAATTATCTTTACAAAAGCAGTGCTAGATGAAGAAAAAAAAGAAAAAAAAAATATAGCTGTTTTGGTAATTTTTGCACTTTTCAATTGCTTATATTTCGGCAATTGCTTTATAGAAAATTTTGCACATTACCTAAGAAAACAATTATCTTTAAAGATGCTTGTAGAGAGAAAACTACTGGGTCTAGAAAGCAAAAAATTTTAAACTTAAGCCTTTCTTGTTATTGGCAAGGTGCTCGTGAAAGTTCTGGGTCGATAGGTTGAAGTTCACAGAGTTCCCATAGAGCAAATTCAGTTTTATGGCTTAATTTTAAGCTTATAAGAATAAAATTGCATTGAAGCAAATGAATTTTATTCAAAATGTTACTCAGAATAACAAATGCTCAAATTTATGTGAATTAAAACTTTCTAACAATTTTTCTAAATGGTGTATGGAAAGCATTGGTTAGCAATTCATTTTGATCAGCACCTTCTGAATTGTACATCATCATTATATGTTTTTGATGTAATAATACAATTATTAAACAAAAAACAATTAATATCCAAACAAAAACATCTGAGATGTAAAAAATTGTTTCAAGTAAAAACTTATGCTAATTTAGACGACAGTCAAAACTTTTAGTAGTTTCTTTGGCGAAGATTAGCTTGGTGCAATTAAGTGGTATCCACAAGATTTTTACAGAAACTCCTAAGAAAAAGTTTGACTGTTGTCTAAATTGTCAAAGTTTTTACTTAATGCAATTTTTTACATTTCAGATGTATGTTTGTATCAAATTGGTATGTTTATCAATGCATTTTTAACTGATAATTAGTAAATTGGTTTACCAGTAATGCAATATAGTGGATGATAAATCATTGAGTGTATTCATACAATAATGTAAACTTCTAGATTTTGTGGAGATGGAAGTTATACACAGTGGAAATGTTTTTAATTTATTTCAATTCATTGCTCATATCTAATATATTGGAGCTGTGTGCGTGCATATGTGTGTGCGTGTGCTCGCTTTATTAAGACCTTAAACACCACAATCTTATATGGAATCAGATTAATGCTACAAAATGGAGAAATAATACATCGAAGGTTGTTAAACATAGTATTATTGACATCAAGTGTATTAGTCTTATGTATTTATTAATATACGGTATTTTATTTATCTAATACTTAATTTTTAATACTTTAAATTGCCATAGTCAATTTTTAATAAAACTAACAATTCATACCATAATTTCTAAATAAAATAATTATTTAATTTGACTAATGTATATGTGTCTTATTTTATAGATGGGTCTGTGAAGATTTTCCTGAATTGAAATTGGCTATGGAAAATTATGTTTTACATGATTATGATACAAAAAGGTAAAAAAAAATATATTTATATATATATACATAGTTACATAACTGTAATCAAGGATTCAGTTTTCCAAACTTTTCTATGTAGGAATCAGCAGGGGTACAGAATAGATCCAATTGAATGAACTAGGTTTGGGGAGAAATTAAAGCCATCCCAGGGAAATTTGTAGCAGAAAAAATATGACAATAACTGCTGTAACATTATAGTAAAGTGGAGTAGCATCTTGGCTAAGCCTATAGACATTAATTGGGAAAATTTGCCAAAATGCAGGGAAACTATTTTAAAAGTAGAATTGGAATGTTCTTTATTTTATTTCTGATCACTTTAGTCACTTGTTACATTACTGACTACTTGTACTTATTGCAAGCACAAAGTTGGTCTCACTTGCCAAACCACAGTTTTAGTTTTTATGAGAAACTGAAACAGAGCATTAAATCAAAATAATCTGTTTTTATTTCAAAACTTTTTCAATTCTATTTAACGGATGAAATTCTACATGAGCATGAATTAAAACAAAATATTTATACTCTTCCCTGCATGGAAAATTTTTAAATTAAAACAGTTTTTCAATAGTTTATTAATCTTGTACTTTATAAATATCTTTTCTGAATTGTTTTGATTGAAAAGCTAAATACAAATATCATAATTTTATAAACATTATTTTTTGTATATGTTCATAAATATATGTCAATGTTAATGTTTTTTTTATTTTATAATAAATTTTAAAATGTTATAAAATTATGATTTCATTTTTAAAAGTAACAATAACAATAATAATTATAAGGAAATGTCAGTCAAAAACTGTTAAAAAAAAAAAACTTATCTCTTTGCAAAAAATTGCAAGGTCATCATAAGGAAATTTTTCATTTTTTTGGATGTCAAAAGTCTGTTAATTAGCACTTTGTGCTAAAAATAAGTAATCTGTAGCATTGGTGACAACTTTAATTTTATTTCTATTAATCAAAATGTTACAACAAGTTTATAATTATATATGTTATCCTACGATAGTGAGTGACACATGCTTAATTTAAATTAAAGCACTTTTTATAAAAAAAATTTGGCATTAATTTATCAGCATGGAAAATTATATGGTATGCCTAGTTGATTATTTGTATGATTTAATTTGAATTTTCCAAACTATGTAGTGCTGATTATTAATTTGTTCATAAATTGTTGTTTTATTTTGTGTAATAGTGTGCACTATTTTTGGGGGAAATTTTGGGTCTGCACTCCTGATAATAAGTAGTTTAATAATTTTCTTATAAGTCTATTGCAAATGTACAGGATGTGCCATGAATAAATGTTCATATGAAAATGATGTTCAGAAGTTCATGCCATACGTGAGTGTAGATTGGGATATTTTTTTATGATTAGAGGAAATTTATCAGTTAATGCCAAAATTTAGTCTTGTTGATTGAGAAAGTGAAACCAAGTTAGAGTATAAAAAGTAATTAAAGTATAATACAAACGGCAAGAATTTAATATGCTTCTGCTCACATATAGCATGAACTTTCCAGCATTGCTTTTATATGAATGAATCCTGTATAAGTATATTATACATGACAATTTCAATCAGAACTATCATCTTATATTTCACTTGAATAACAATAATAATGTTTTTAAAGATATCAAATTTATTTTTATTGGAAATTTTATTACTTTTTCAGTACTGGCTTTACTTGAATAGTAACTGCATTTTGTCTTTAAAACTTGAAATAACTACCCTCAAATAATAGCTGTGTTTGTTTAAGGATTTCTGAAAACTTAGATAAACAATATAAAATTAATAAATATCATAAAGCACAGTAGATAGATACCATATTTATATATTTAATAGAAAATGAAATATGTAAAATATACAATATATAGTAGGTGTTTTTTTAATTATTTTTGTATTATAGTATATTATAGTAGGTGTATGTAGAAGATAACACTCATTATAAAAATAGGTTCCAGTTACCATTTCAAGTATAAACTTTCATAAATATTTTATCAATAATTACTTCCTTTGCAAATAACTATTTGCAAAGGAATTAATAACCACCCTCAAATAGTAACTGTAGTGAAAATATGCATTCTGAAATAGTAGCTATTATTTGAATAAAACTGATATCTCATATTTTAAGTTTTTATGGATTACATTCTTTTTCATCCCCATAGAACAGTTTGTGTCACAGACCAAACAAAATACTGCCCTAATGTAATAAATATCTAAATTATTAGTGAAAATTACAATGTCCAGATATTCAGTCCAGAAGTTTGAAAATGTTAAAAAGAAAACCAGATTAATGTATTTATATAAATTATTATTTTTGATTTAAATTACCTTATATTTAATCCATTTTTAAGAAACAAATGAACTTTTTAGTGAATATTCATTAAAAAAAATGTTATTTATCTGTGCAATTGTTTGTCTGGTCCAAACTTTTGTTACAGTTATTTTATTAAGAAAACAAAAATATGAATAAAATGTTTATATAAGTCAGGAAACTACAGAGAAGAAATGAAAATATATTTGTGTTTATTTTGTTAATAAGGATTTTATTTATATGAAAATATAATTTACATTTATGAAGAATTAATTTAATAAATATAACTTTGTTTTTTCTAATAAAAGTAATGGATATTACACTCATTCTGCAGTGCTATTTGTCCTTTTGATTGTTTTTCAAAATATATGTGTAATAGTTTAGTATAATGTTTAATATAAGAAAAATAATCAAATGAATTATATTTTAAATAGATGTCTTTCTATAACAAATGATTTTTACAAACATCTAATTTACAAAACCTACTTTTGTAACTATTGCAAATTAGAAGTTTGTTAAACTTTGTAAAAACAAAACTGCATTTGTTTGTCAGGCCCACTCATAATAGACAAAATTTAGGTCATCCATACAGCCTTTGCATTCTAGTGTCTTGTAGAAAAATCCAGTTCAGTCTAGTAAATTCTGGGGCATATTAATTTTTTTCATTTTGATGAATACTGATATAATGAATAAAATATTTTATTTTAATAATGCAGTAAAGATATAAATAAACTATTAACTGAACTGAAATCTGAAATTAGATATTTTATAAATTTAAAAGAACAGATGAGTACATTTTGCAATGAACTTTCCAGCATTGCTTTCCTATGAAATAATCAAATATATAATATATATATTATAATTTGATTTCAAAACAGATTAATGTACAAGTTATTTATTATTTTCAATATAGATTTACATAATTTATATTTAATCTGTTTTTTAATGTTTCAAAATTAAATACTTATATCTAAATTAAAACAAAATTGTAAATTTATAAATATTTTTTTCATCAATTTATGTAATAGAAAATATATTAACATAAAAATTTTTTTATAATTAATAATTTCAGATTTGATAGTTTATTGTTAATTTGGGAATTTCTTTTTGTATTGTATGAATTTCTAACAAATAATATAAAGCTAATTTAAAAAATTGCATTATAGTTAGTAGAAACTATGTAATAAAAACTTTAAAATATCTGATGAATGAAAAACAATTTATAATTGAATCAAAAACATTTTAATTCTAATAATTGTTTAATATTATGTGCATTAAAAGAGTTTGAGAATGAAATGTCTGATGCATCTGTTCTTTAAAAATCATAAATATGTTAATGAATATAATATAAATCAAAAACATTTATACTATATGTATAAGTAAGAGAATAAATTTAGAATTTTGAAATTTTTATAGTTATGAAAGTATGAAGACTTTATGTGAAAAATATAATAGAGCAATTGACAGTGTTCTTCAGTTGGTAAGAAATTTTATATTTATTTATGTATGTAGATTGTATGTGTTTGTTTTTTTTTGTTTATTTTGTTAAAAAATATTTGCATTTTTTGAATAGTACAGTTTTATTATTAAATTTTAACTACAAATTTTTTCATGAAAATGTCTTTAAATTTAATACTATAAAGTACAGTACATTGATACATGTTTCTATGAAATTTTTTATTTTAATAAACTGTGTGTGTGTGTGTATATATATATTAAACTATATTATAAACAAAATAAAATATTAACTATTTTGAGATATTTGAAAGAATCAATAATTATTTTTTTTATGATGATACCAGTAAATTTGAGATTTAAATATAAAATTTAATTTAGAAATGCTGTTAAATTATTATTTTTTAATGAACAGTTAAAATTGTTTTATTGGATATAAATTATGTAAAATATCAATCTCAAGATGAGCTATATGTACTGTAAATACAGCTAATTTCTATGAAGATGAGCTATAAAACTTTAAAAGTTCAGTTTTATAGTTCATCTTCAGGGGAAGTGCATCTAATTGAAAAACATTTTATCATAAAATTAAAGTATTCAATGAATCAGTCATTTAAAGTTATTTTGAAAAATGATTTTCTTTTTTAAATTTTAGCAAATTTTAATAATTCAAAAATTTAAAAAAAAATCAAATGTTAAGTGAACTTTTATTTATATTATCTCACTGCAAATGAGATAATCTATGGATTTTTATCAGACTATTCTAAGTCTCTAATTAATAATCCAAAACAAAGTAATTTGGCTACAGGTAGGTGGTTAGTAGAGAGATGTACTTATTATTTGCTAATCATTAATTGGCTCCTCCACAAGTTAATTGTCAAGTGATGATTGATTCTCTAATAATTGGTATAATCAGTAAATAATCATTCCATATAAAAAAATCATTCCATATTTTTAACTTAAAAAGTAATAGGCATTAAAAAAGTGATGTTATTAATAAAGTTATTGTTTGCTTAAACTGAAATTCAAAATAATCATGGAAATATGTCCAGTCTTGTTAGAAACCACTAACTTTTTTGGTAACTGTGTTTTCAGTCTGAAATTTTTATTTAAACTGAAGATGTTGTATTTTGGTACTATGAAGCTTATTCCTTAAAAATATATACTTCTTTCTCATTCATAGCCAATTATCACATTTGATTCAGTGCCATCTGCCAATTTTGAAAGAAATTTTCCATTTTTAAATAAGTAGATTATTATTACATTGTTATTTATTTCATATTATTTTTTTATTAACTGCATTGTACTTGAAAGAATGGCTGATGTGAATTCTGGCATAAGCCAATTATTATATCAATTAATAATGGAAAAGTATGACTGCCAGAAATATTAAAATTATCACATCTGTTTGTTCAAAATGGCATCAGTATAGAATTGCCAAGAAAATATATAATCCATGTTCTACTAGAAAAAAAGATAACATTATCTTGAATCAGTATCAAGAAACTTCAACAGAAATACTTTACTGTGAATAATTTTGACTAACCTTACAGTGGAACCTGGTTAACTCGAATCGGTTGGGGTAAGAAATTCAGACTTTGAGTTAAAAAGTTTTGAGTTATGAAGGTTCAACTAAAAATCAAGATTTTGTGCATTGGTTTATCAGTGACCCATAATAAACTATCCACATACGTCCATGGATCTTATTACATGGAATCATTGCATCAATGTAACTGTGCTGTCCAGAAACTCAAATGCTTAATTGAATGAGAAAATAAGCTATCAAGAAGTGCTTTTCTGAATGACTGATCCATTCACTCCTAAGTATTTAGTAAGGATTTTTTTAATTGCAATATTTCAAGCCTAGAATCAATCTATTCATTATTTTTTATCACAAAAACTACTCTATGATTGTTATCTTTTTAAAGTTTTGCCACACAGTTTTAAATTTTTACTTAGAATTGGACTATAATAATTTTTTGAAAAATTTATTAAAAATCCATTTATTTATTACATCAGCTAGTCAGAGAAATCCATTGGCAATCAAATAAAAGAAAACCAAGTTCAGAAAAATGCAGGTTGAATGGCAGTTACAGTCTAGGTCACATATGCTGTCTGGAAGCCACCCCCACTGTCACATGACATGATGTTTATTTTTATTCATATATGATTCTCACACTTTATAGAAAGTTTGATTAGTTATTCAATAGATGAATGTTAATTATTTTATTTGACAGAAAATTAAAATTTTACAGAGTTTATGAAAATATGTATCAAAACCACTATTTAAGTTAAGAAGTTCAACAAATTTGAGTTAACTGGTTTGATTTCATATGTAAATTCCTACATTTGGACAATCAGGGAAAGAAAATGACTTTTGAGTAAACATGACTTTGAGTTATCCCAGTTAAAGTTAATCAGGTTCCACTGTATTAGAATGGTACATTATTGGCATGAAATTGTCTAGTGTTCGGTTTGCTTTTCAGTTGGATATAGAAGTGACCTATATAACTAGATCAAGGGTCGGCAAACTTTTTTGATCATTGACCCCCTACAAGTTTTCAAAACCTCACATTGACCCACACCAAAAAGTTTGTTACAAGCAAAACAAAATACTTACTATTTTAATTTTTTAATTTTGCATTTTTTTCATTTGTTATATATTTGTTAATAATAATTTTTGTAACTGACAATCAGTGAGATGGATAAGCTTGATCCTTAGCTCTCCCTTATCCTTAGCTTAAGCTTGATAATCGACCCCCAATAATGTTACAGTGACCACTTTGGCGACCCCTGAACTAGATAGTTCAATTCAAAGCGAGTTTTGGCAACCCTAGCTATATGGCTAGGTTAGGTTAGTTATATTGTTCACCAGCTAGAGACATTAACACTTTCTTTGCCAAATTGATGTTATTTTGCATCAGTCACCCTTGACACTCATATACTAATGATAGTATTTTGGCTTCATTTGGATGCTGGAAGTTTTTGGTAAGTTGTGCATGTGTTACTTTTTGAATGCTATTTATTGTACCAGAAGTGTAAGAAACATTTTAGAGGTTATATTTGATTTATTGTTTTCACAATATTATTGCATGATGACCTTTGAAATAGGAAAGTGTGTAGCAGATGAGTTTCAAGGCAGCTGTCCATTGATCACCAGCATATTTAGTAGATACACTAAGTGATCTTAAATTTAAGATGATGAAACATTCATTATATGGTTTAGACTTAGTGCTATCAGATTTTCATTTGTCTGGATATTTGAAAGGACATTTACTGATGTTTGCTGATGACACTGAAGAGATGGTGCAAAGTTGGTTAAAGGCCATACCAAAAAACTTTTTTCTTGAGAACATCTGGAAATTTGTGGACTGGTGGACCAAGTGTTGCAAAGCATGATGATTATGTCAAAAAATAAGACAAAAACAATTTATAGTACTCTTGTAAAAGAAGTTATTTTAAAATTCCTGTTTTTTAATGACTTTTCCTCATAGTTCTTTGACACTTCAAAAGATCTCTGATTTTAAAAAGAAAATTCATCAACTCAAAGAAAAATTGCAGTGGTGTATGAATTGTAAATAAGAAAATAAACAAAGATTTAAAATTTAAACATGTTTTTTGTTTATATTAGTCATTTTTTTATCTAGGCATGAGACTCAACACAGAACACATTGTAGATTGCTTTATGAAAAATCATTTAACCAGAAAGAGGGAGAAATATATTGTGACTATGAAGCATGGATCTACTTAATGATTGCAACAAAAAAGATCATTATACTCTCAAAAGAGGAAAAGAGATGTTTGCAACAGAAAATTAAAGATGAATGTTAAAATCAATTTTGCATATTATCAAAATAACGTTTAATGGAATGGTACTTAAAAAATAAATACCATATCTTTATCCACAGAACCTTTGAAGAGTAGAACTCTGTTGTGATAAGACTACCAGTCATAATCAAAATTTACCATTAAATTTTTTAAAAACCCACAAAACATAGGTATCAAGATATATCTTTTCACTGTATTCCTTCAAAAGTCCCATGATTTGTCTTCAACAATCTATTGTGCCTTTAGATTGTTAAAAAGAGCTATTTTAAATGCAGACCTATAGCAATTTATGGACTACTGAAAGCAGCAGGAGAAGAGTGGAGTAAAATGCAACTACAATAGAGCATCGATTATCCAAAACAATTCTGGACTGGGGTTGTTCGAATAACTGATCATGTATGAAAAAATATATTAACCTATCCCATGTTGAAATTTTTCTGTTGCGTGTTGCTTTGCGTTGAATTTTCGTCAATNTCCAAAACAATTCTGGACTGGGGTTGTTCGAATAACTGATCATGTATGAAAAAATGTATTAACCTATCCCATGTTGAAATTTTTCTGTTGCGTGTTGCTTTGCGTTGAATTTTCGTCAATGTTAAGCCTAACGAAAATTTTTTAAAAATAATAATCATGACTATTGTATTGTTAAAAATTATTTTTTTATTTTGCAAAAACAAAATAAATGTATTGAAAAATAGAAAAACGAAAAAAAAAATTATATTTTGGAATTTAATCTAGTATCAAAAAATGTTCTGATTCTGCATGACGCATGTCCCGACAACACAGTCCTCAGAAAAACACCACACAAAACAAGAAAAACTCTTTTTTTTGGGTTTATCTGGAGATGTCAGCTGCTTGGGCTATATTCTCCAATGAGCTGAAGCAAAATACACCACTCACGATGGGGAAAAAAACTTCATTCAAATACTGGTGCATCCTTAAACATCCTCTTGACATGTGTCGTGCTGAATTGGAATGTTTTTGATACTATATTAACTTCCGAAATATAACTTTTTGGTTTTATATTTTTCAATATATTTATTTTGTTTGTGCAAAATAAAGAAATAATTTTTAATGATACAATATGGTCGTGCAGGTGCAGCCAGCTAAAACACACACCAACAAAAATAATATTGGAGTAGCCCAAGACATAGCCAAATATTGCAGTGCCACAGCACTAGCAGAAATTTGAATTTGCCGACTGAATCACTTTCGGTTATCTGATGTTTAGGTTGATTAGTATTCAAATAGTTGATGCTCTAATGTAATCATTTGTAAAAATGACAAGTGAAATACAAAGGTTTATTGGTACTCAAACAATTCAATATTCAAATACAAATTCTGGTGAAAAATCACACAGTGCTTAAATGAACAAACAAGGGCCCCCTAAAACAAATTTTTGATTAATAACATATTTTTATTTTGTCATATATAAAAATTTTTTATGATAAAAATAAGAAAAATGAAGATGTTACTAATATTTCTGATCAACAACAATAAAAAAGCTCAGATAACAATACTTTGTAAAGAAATCACCCTTGTTTAACTAAAATTAATATTAATGCATAATACAGTACTTTTAATTGTAATTGTTAGTTAATTATTAATTGGAAATAGATTGTTGATTGCTTTAATAAACATATTTTTCTTAGTAAAGAAAAAGAATAGTATACTTTTGTTAATTTTTGGAACCTAACCTCATGTTTTGTATTAGTCCTTTGTTTTGTATAGCATGGATTTGCATAACATGGCACTTTTTTGGAACATAACTAGTCTTATATGAGGGATACTTGTATCTGGTCAGAATCACAATAAATTTGTCCAAAATCATAGTGAATTTATTAATAAATATAATTAAGAATTCTGTTGGAAATATTACCCATCCTTAATTAATCAATTTAAATATTAGTTAATGTTTCTACTTAATTAAATACCATTAAATACTTTATTTGAAATTAATTAATAAAGCTAAATAAAATCGCTGTATATGTTTTTTTTATATACAGTTGCTCCCTTATCTGTGGTTTCAGTTACCCATGGTCAATCATGTTTCAAAAATGTTAAAAGGAAAATACCAGAACTAAACAATTCATAAGTTTTAAATTGTACACTGTTCTGAATAGCATTATGAAATTTTGTGTTGTCCCACTTCATCCCACTCAGGTATAAATCACCTCAGTAACCTTAGTTTTATTCCAGTCAAGTTGTTCAAAAACATTCATTGTTTTTAAGATATTACTGTTATAAAACTAAGGTTACTGAGGTGATTTATATCTACACTTTTCCAGTTTTGATTTGTTTCTTTTTAAGCAGTAAATATTCCATTCAGAATATGAATCATCCCTTTGTCAAGCATGTCTATGTTGTAAATAGTAGTGATGTTGACAATTTAAACATTTCAGAAACCATAAAACTCTNGTACAAATAAATGATCAAATTTACAAGACAAAAAAACAAAAAGATTGCCGGAAATCAGTTTTTTGTGCGTCCGCCACACTGAGCGATGAAAGCCTGTACACATCGTGGCATTGAATCATACAAGTTCTGAATGTAATCCTGAGGAATGGCATTCCAGATGGCTTTGACTTGATGCCAAAGTTCAGTCTTATTCTGTGCTCCACCAGCTGTACGTCAAGTCACTGACTAATGAAATTCCAGATATACTCGATGGGTGACATATCCGGGGAATAAGCAGGCCATGGAAGAAGCAAAGCCTGTTGTGCACTGAAGAAGGCTTGTGCAGTCTGAGAAATATGTGCGTGGGCATTATCCTGCTGAAATACAGCACCCAGAATGCATCAAAGAAGGGGGAGGACCTCTGGCTCCACAATTTCCCATATGTAGCGATTACTGTTGAGGTTGCCCGCAATGTGCACTAGATGGGATTGACAATTATACCTAATAGCTCCCCACACCATGATGCCAGGCGTTTATGCGGTATGACGCTGGATAACATATTGTGAGAGCAGATGTTTCTCTCTGTAATGTCTGACGTGTACTCTTCCATCATTGTACTGCAGATTGTAGCAAGATTTGTCGGAAAAAACAACTTGTTGCCACTGGGCACACCATGCACTGTGTTGCTGAGCCCATTGAAATCAAAGGTGTCTGCCAATCAGCAAGTGGGGAATCCTGCTTAGAGGAACCCTTTCACACAGTTCATGCTGCAGCAAACAGTGACGAACCGTGGAGCTATACAACAAAACACCTGTAGCCGTACTCCAACGTTATGCTAACACATGAGAGGACGCTGTACGGTCCATCACAGCCATGTGGATTAGGTGTCTGTCGTCCCGTAGTATTGTGCTATTGCTTGCCCCACTGCCAGGTTTTTGCCTTATTTGGTTCTCCTCTGTTCATTTCTTCCAAACATGCATCACTGTTGTGGCATTACACTGCGTGCAGCCTGCAATTTCTCAATATGAAAATCCACCCTCTTGCATACCAATGATGTGGCCTCGTACAAACTCTGTTAGTTGTTGGTATGGCTTCCTCAGCTTTTGACAAGGCATATTGACCACCAATGAAATGTTTACTACAGACAGAGGAAGATAAATTGACTTTAATGCATCTTTACAGTTCTCTATATACCTGGAATAAGTGGCTGATAAGGAGCTGATTCTCATTCCACGCTTGTGCAATCACTTTGTATTTCTATTCATTTGCATGTCTTACCTTGCTTTACATTTATTGTAAGTTTGGTTCAATTTGCACAATTCCTTCATGGTGTTGCAATTTTCACAAACATGAGTGTATATTTATAGATAATTATTCAACTGTTACTTATCAGAAGCAAATTTATTGCCACCACTCTGTCTTACAGCCTAGCCATCTTACTTTTTCTTCAAAAGAATGACATGAAGAAATCTTAGATTTTATCAAAAAAAAAATATTTTTGAATATTACACCCATATTTGCAGAAAAGCGTTATTAACATTGATGCATAGTCAGGTTTAATATTATGCCTAAGGGCACATTAGCTATTTGCTGAATGTTGAATATTTGCCTTTGACCAAACTATTCATTGAACTGTTTCACTCTACACACACACACACACACACACACACACAATATTTGATTATTTGCTGAGCATGGGAATGATGAGTGTTCATCTGAGATCTAGAAAATGGACAATTCAATTTTTAAACAATAATTTGTGTCACTGTTTTTATAGTTATGAGTAGTTCACTCTATTAATGAAAAAAGTCTAAATGTAAATGGTGGATGGCATTATTTTAAACCAGAAAAATATAAATGTGAATGAGTGATTATTTATTGTGACATTGTCACAATGCCTGGTTGAAATTTTTAATATATTTTTAATTTATTTAATTTAAAATATATGTTCTTTACCTCAAATTATTATTAGTGTCTTTCCCCTGTACATCACACTTTCCTTTAACAATAGAGTATTGCTGGTCATCTATTAACTGCTTTCAGGGGAAATTTTTGAATTGAAATAACATGACTTTGGTTTGCATTGGAAGTTTATATATAGTTAATCGGGGCCTATTGTTCCTAAGGTTACCATAACTGGTCTTGTCTTTCATTTATGTAACTCGATTCTTGATATTAAGGAAAGATAGACGGACAACAGTGGAAATTTATCAGTCTACAATTTTTTAAAATTGCAGCTTAAAAACAATGTTTTTTAAAACAACACAATAAAACCAAATTGAAAAATAAGCTAAACTGAAAAATAAAGACTAGATCTAGTTTAAAAAAGAATAAAATAGCAATACTGATGACCAAAAATAAGAAGATACACACAAATGCAAGCACAACTCTGTGGATGGACAACACAAATGTGTGCAGGTGAATATTTATCTTCTTAAATTCAGTACAATTTAATGACAAGAATTGTGAAACAACAAATACTGAATATTCATCACGAATAAACCATCCCACACTGCTTGATATTCATTAAATGTTTTCTTGGCATTCAGTGAATAGCAAATTTGTGGATGTGTTCTAAGACTAAATTAAGAATAATAAACAAAAATAAAATAATCTTAGTTACATTTAATTTAATTACTTTAAACATAACTTACATATAACAGACCAACTATGTTAGATAATCAGCCATCTGCCAGCAGTTCAATTTTTAAAACAATAAAAAAAATACATAAACTTGAAACTTTAAATTATTCAATTGTTAAGTTAAAAAATATTACTTTGAATATAAAACAATGAAAATATTATAATTTTCTACTGAAATTTATTTAAAATATGGATGGCATTTCATATTCAACTTAATTAACCACTTAGCAGTGAGCAACGACTATAGTCATTAAAGGTGATCGTGTGGCAGTGGTGAGGGACGACTATAATCGTCAAATTCTTTTGAGGGGTATCGCCAAAAACTAGCCTAAAACTACCACAAAAAAAAATTCACATGAAAAATGAATTATGTAACAATAAAAAAAGACTTTTCTTTACTAGACATAACTGTTGACAAAATTTTTTTTTGAAACAGTAATGAGAAATAATGCATGAAAAAATACTCTAAAAATTTTGCCTAAATTTTACCATACCTGACTATTCCACTGTTGAAAGGTTAAGTGATTAAACAGTCTGTTACAATAGTCCAGTTAGCAACCAGAGCAAACTGAATGGGTATTTTTTTTAATAAAATGTAAAGATGGAAAAACTGTCACAAATTAAATTTCTGAGTAAATTTGAATTATAGATAGTCATTTCATGCAATAATTGCATGGCATTCCTAATGTATTAAGTGCATTTTACCAATGTTTTTTTCTGAGATGAAGAAGTGAATTGGTAATTAATTAGTTTTAAGTTTTTAGTGATGATTTTTGATTGTCAGACAAAATTTTTTAGTTTCCAATGATGTCTTGGAGATCAGAATTTTAAGTCTGATCAATGCAATATGTCATTAATCTGACATTTTACCAATCACAAGAAATTAGCATATACATTATGAAATTAATGTCAAAAACAAAATTTTAAAGTTTAATTAACAATTAAAAAAATCTGAAATTTAAAAGTATTTAGCTTTAAAAATTATTGCAGGTTTGTTTTTTAATTCTCTGCTTTAGAGTTTTGTATGAAAATTGAAATTTACACTAGAATATTGGTTTTTCTGTCTTAGGTTTATGGAGAAACATCATATGAATTTATAGCACAGATGATAAACGAATTTGAAATTGACGATGATGATGTATTCATAGACCTTGGAAGTGGTAAGTACTTTATTTTAATTATGACTATATTAACATTTTTAAAATATATCAATATGGTTTAGTTGTAAGGTATGAATTATATTTTAAAATTTATTGCTGAAATTCTATTACAATAGACTTTATCAAATTTATTTCATATTCTAAAAGCTCTCATATTATTATTTTAAATATAATTAAATATTTAAATTTATGAAAGTTTTGAGGAAGAGTAACAAACCAATTCATTTTAAATTAATTATTGTTTATTTATTGTTTATATATTTATTATTATATTTTTTATGGAAAGTAATAAAACAAATACTATCAATTTTTACAATGAAATTGTTTACTGTCAGTTTAACTGACAATATGATATAGACATTTAAGTATTTTTCATTATTTATATCTTTTTAAATAGAATGTGGCTTTTCTGTTTCAAAAACAATAAATATAAAATCAGCTGTATTTTCTAACATTTTCTTGTTTTTCTTTTCTTTTTTTATTTTGCTAATAAAAATATCTTCTATATAATGTCATATTATATGATTATGATTTAAAAAGTTAATTATAAACTTATTTTGTAGAAGTTTTATTATAAAATAGTGCAACTTGTAAAAAGTAAATTTATATGTAATAATATAAATTTTCTAAAAGAAAACTACAAAAGAAAATTGTAAATAATGTCTTAAAATTAATTTTATAATAGAGAGAGATTTTTAGGCCCAGAAAATTGTATGAGTTATTAATAGAAAAGAAAAGCAAGTTCTAAAAGCAATAAATATTGAAATTTCAAAATTTGTTAAGTTTTTAACAATATATTGATTTTGAAGAGTCTGAAATATCGGTGTAGGCTCTGTCACAGACTGTACCTTTATTGAAGAGGGATCGGTGAGAATTCAGATCCAAATTGCATTTAAATAAAATATCTGAGAATTAATCATCTGAGTAATTCTTGAACTCGGGTGAACATCAGATTTGAAGGACATAAAATTTCAGTTTATTTGTCCAAAAAACTTCTTTTAAGTGGTTATAAAGTGACTGATTATATCCAGCAAATATTGCTAATTTTAGCTTTGTATTAATATATTTTCTCTCTATATAAATGCAAAGTGGTTTTAAAATTATTTTTCTAGTAAGTGCATAAAAATACATTTACAAAAATATAAACATTTTCATTAATTGTTTGTTTTTAACTCCTCCCTTCTTTAAGGAGTTGGGCAAGTAGTATTACAAATGGCAGCAGCAACATCATGTAAATTGTGTGTTGGTATAGAAAAATCTGATGTACCAGCAAAATATGCTGAGGTAAGAGGAAAAATTAACAAAGTACTATAATTTATCATATGATTTTATAAATTAATAATATTGATGTAGATATATAAGTTGAGAGGTTAAGTTAAACTTAAGATAACTTGATTTAATATTCAGTTAATTTATCTTCAAATGTTTAATATTGATTTGAATATGCCAAAGTAACACAAATATGGAATGTTAATGAGCGTTATTAAAATAATGATTTTTAGTTTATTATACAGTAGAGCCTCGATTATCCAACCTAATTGGGGACTGGGGTTGGTCGGATAATTGAAAGGGCGGATAACCGAAAAGTATGAAAAAAATCTATTATTAGTGTAGTATATTATTATATCCCATGTAATTAGTATATTAGTATATCACTATTAACCTACTTTGTGTTGAATTTTCATCGATGTTAAGCCTAACAAAAATTTTTTAAAATAATAATCATTGCTATTGTATCGTAAAAAATTAGAAAGTTGAGCCTCATTTAAATACTGGCTCCCATTTATGGTCGATCCAGTGTTGCCAACTAAAACACGTAAAAATAATATTAAAGTAGCCAAGACATAGCCAAATATTGTAGCGCCACATCATTTGAAATTTGCCGACTAGGACGGTTGGTTAACCGAGGGGTTGGTTGATAGGTGGTCGGATAATCGAGGCTCTACTGTATATTTAGATATTTTTTCAAATTCTACACACACAAAATCTAAAGAAAAAATTATATTTGGATGAATCATATATTAAATTATTAGTCTATTTTACAGTTGTCAGAATGCATCAATAAATAATACAGTAGAGCGTTGTTTATCCGAATCAATTGGGGACTGGGGTTGTTTGGATAACTTAATCTTTGGATAACCGATTATGTATAAAAAAATATATTAACCTATCCCATGTTGAAATTTTTCTGTTGCAGGTCACTTTGTGTTGACTTTTCATCGATGTTAAGCCTAACAAAAATTTTTATAATAATAATTGTGGCTATTGTATCATTAAAAATTATTTCCTTATGTTGTACAAACAAAATAAATATATTGAAAAATATAAAAATAAAAAAAAATTATAGTTAGAAGTTAATCTAGTATCAAAAACATTCAATTTAGCATTACACAAATCACAACACACAGTCCTCAGAAAAACACCACACAAAAGTGCCAGTGCTGCCATATAAAACACACATACAACCAAAAAAAATATTGTAGTAGCCCAAGACATAGCCAAAGGTTGCAGCACCACAGCACTAGTGGAAATTTAAATTTGCCAACTGGAACACTTTCAGTTAACCAACGTTTTGGTTGATCGGCTTTTGGAGCTATGATGCTCTATTGTAATTAACATTTCACCTTTAATTTACATTTATGTAAGAAGATGAAAAATATAGTAATTAAATATTTTATTTTTTAAACAAATTTTTAATATTTTACATTGTTTGCATGCATCTGTAGTATTATTTAATTACAGAAAAATATTTAATTCTAAAGATTTTTTTATTTATGAATATTGTGTGAATTTAATGCATATTTATTTTAAAAGAATATCATTATGGCCAAGTATTTGATCAGAAGTTTCTTCCTCTTTCTAAACTTAAGCCTATTTATATTACATAGTAATTTTAAGAGTTGTTTTAAAACACTAATAATCTTAATTTTATAAATTAACTAATTGTATAGAAATATATAGAAAGTGATTAATTTCAAATATTATTAATATTAATTACAGATATAAATTAAAACACCTTATTTATTCTAATAATTTTGAAACTTATTACATAATGTAATAGGTTTTGAGTTTTTGAAAATTATAAATTTTAAACTATTTTTAATTTTTAAAAATGTCTTATTAAAAGAAGATATTCAAAACCTGTCATGAGAGAAATTTTAGTATCTGATGTAAATTAAATAACCAGGGAGAATAAAGAATATGATGAAAGGACAATACAGAACTCAAATGAACATGCAACAAGATAAATAGAAAATTATTTGTTTACAAAATAAAAAGAAATCAACTTTACATGGTAATTGAATCAAATTGCAGATAGGGCAGTTTTAATTCAAAAATAATCTTTTGGTGACAATAATAAAAATTTCCTTTCCTCTATTACATTCTCAAAACTGTATTTGGTGAATTAAAATTTATAATATTTCTTCTGTTTAATTCTATTAGAATATCTAGTTTTATACTAGTAATGTCTTTATAAAAAGCGTTTTTCAAGTTTTCTTTAGCTTTTTATTTTAATTGAAGTTTGATTTTTCAAATCTCATTAACATAAAATAATGCAAATAAATATTGAAAATGTTTTAATTAAGAAATTATTCTTTTTGGTATTGTATTATTCGATGTAACTGTCCTTTTAAATCCAGCTTATTGAAACAAGTGTTTATGGAATGATTATGTAATTTGTGAAATGGAGATCTATGGTTTTATAATAATTAGTTTCTGATAAATGACACTAGCAATACTTTTCAATAAATCATATAATATGATACTTTACTTGTAAATTAGAGTAAAAGTGAATAATGTTGACAATTTTCAGTTGAATTAGTGAATAGTTTCTGGTATAATGGTATTTTTAACTTGTGGTCAAATAATTTAAAGCCAAGTGTTCAAAACAGAATCTTATTATATTTAGAAGATGCTTCATGCTAGTTATAAAAATTAAATATATTAAAAATTTGATAATCTGAACATATGTGAATAATCTCAAAGTTTTGAAATTATTAAAATATATTTATATTTCTGTTTAGACAATGAATACACATTTTAGGTTTTGGATGAAATGGTATGGGAAAATACATGGAGAGTACAAGCTTATTAAAGGTGATTTTCTGGAAGATAAATATAAAGAAGTAATAATGAATTCTTCGTAAGTGTGTTTAGTCTTTTCAATATTATTATAGATTTTTCTTATAAGTTAAATTTTTATAGTAAACTTTATTTATAGTAATGTAAAATTTTTAAAAACTGTTTTCTCTGTTTTATATATATATATTATATATAAACATTTTGTTTTGAAATTTAAGTTGTTTACAGATTTTTATTAATAAAATATTACAACTTGTAAGCAAATTAGATATTTTATTTTACAATTTCAGTTTATTATTATTTTATTCTGTTTTTGTGATTGGGCTGCAATTTTCATTTGCAGACCTATACATTCCCATTATTGTCTGTTGTTCATCTGTCCTTCATTAACCTGTCCTGTATTATTCTTGACATATCTCGGGTTGCTACCTACTGACCTTAACCGGTGGACCCGAGATATCTCGTTTTTGCTTAGGAACATTTTTTTAACATCAGATGGCGCTTCTTGTACGGAATTCTGAAATTAGTGACTCATATCACAAGAATTGTTATGTTATCTAGTTTTTGCACAGCAGAATATTACAATAATAGGAGTAGATGTTCAGAAGAAATAATAAAGGAAAGTAGACCATTACTTAGACTCTTTCAACATGGCAACAGCTGGGAGAAATAGTGCTCTGAATAAATCAGAAATGATCAAGTATTTGTTTAATTTAGGTTCCGGTGAGTATCAAATATCAGACAGTAATGATGAATTTTTACAAAGTGAGAATGTGAGTGATAGTAGTAGTGATATTGATCATGAAATGCCATCTACAAGTGGAAACAGAGGCCGATCAAGTAGTTGTGCTTGTGGAAATGATAGTGCAAAATGTTTGCATTTTAGTAATGATGATGGTTGGATTCATATGAACTTTGCAAGCCCTCAAGTGAACAGTTTCATAGAACAAGCATCAATACAATGTAAGTTACAAAGTGATGCTACACTATTTGACTGCTCCAATTTATTTTTTGATGAACTTGTAGACAAGATTGTTCATGAAATGAACAGGTATGGTGATACTTTGATGAAATGTGATGATTTACATGAAAACAGTCACATAAAACATTGGAAACCTAAAGTGTGTTGCAAAAGTTTAGGTCCACTCCATTCAGTTAAGAAAACACAACACAAGCACATCTAAAGAAACCAACACACATTTATTTATGTAGGTAGCAGAAACATGTAAAAATAATACATCATCATTAAACTAGCATATTAGACAACTGTAAATGTATAAACAAACACAGTGAGATAATCCATATGTTGCAAAAGTTTAGTTCATTGTGTGGAATTACACATTATTGTCTCAAACTCCCCTTTTTGCACCCCAATGTCAAAAACACAATAAGGCATGCTATCTACAAGTAGCTGGAGCACATCTTGACTTATTTCATCCCATGCAGAGGTAATGGCTGTCTGCAGTTCAGCAACAGTTAAAAACTGATGTTTGTTGGCGTACATGTTCCTAGCGATGATTCCTCAGGGGTTCTCCATGGGGTTAAGGTTGGGAATTAGCAGGCCACTCCATTACATGTACACCATTGTCTAAGGACCACTCCCCTGTAGTGTGTGCTACATGGATTGGTGCGTTTTCCTGTTGGAATGTCCAGAAAGGTCCTCCAACCCTCTCTCTAAATGCCATGTGGTGCACATCCAATAGTTCCTGGTAGTCTCTGGACTTCATATGTCCACTTGGAAATGAAATGTTTGTCTTCTTGTTGTATTCGAATCCAGCCCAGACTATTACTGATCCTCTTCCCATTTGGCATTTGGAAAAGATCTTCTTATCCTCTCTGATGTCATGCAAGTAGTAGCACCAGCCATCAGGGCAGTCTAAATTAAATTTTTTTTGTCGCTGAATACTACTCATCTCCATTCTGTACTCCAACTTAAATGTTCTCTAGTTCATTTTATTTGTGCTATCTTATTGGCTGATGTTAATTTGGGCTGACATTTCTTCTTGTACAGCAGTCTTCTGTTGCATCTTACAACTCTTCATAGGGTTGACTTATTAACATTAAACATTGGATCATGTGCCAACTGTCAAAGTGATGATCCTGGTTGTTTTAGGGTGTTTATGACCTGTCAAAGTTGATGTTCACTGAGTGCCCATGGACATCCTGAAAGGGGTTTTTGGTTGTACTCCTCTTGGTTACATAATTGTTCACCACATTATGTGACTGATTAATCCTGTTTGCTATGGCCCTGTTGGACAGCCCTTGCTGCTTTAACACACCAATCTTGCCCATCTCATAGGCAGATAACATCTTGCCATGGCCCATGTTTCCATAAACATTATATCAAAGAAATCACACAACTCAAAGTTGCAATTTCACTCTTGACACGCATGAAATAGTTTGTAAAGTTTAACTTGCAGGTCATACCATTCTTTCTCCTGGGGATGTGGTGGAACTAAACTTTTGCAGCACATGGATTATCTCACTTTGCATGTTTATACATTTGCAGTCATCTAATAATATGCTAGTTTAATGGTGTCATATATTTTTACATGTTTCTGGTACGTAAACAAATAAATGTATGTATTTGTTTCTTTAGATGTATTTGTGTTGTGTTTGCTTAACTGAATGGAGTGGACCTAAACTTTGCGACACACCTTACAACAAATCCAGAGATTAGAGAATTTTTAGGACTTACTATGATTACAAGTATTGTTAGAAAACCTCGCCTAAGTATGTATTTTAAATGAAGATTTTTTTCTACACCATTGTTTTGAGTGCGATGTCAAGCAACCAATTTCTGTTTTTATTGTCATGTCTGCATTTTACAGACAATGATCAAGCGTCAGATGGTGATGATAAATTGCATAAATTAAGCAATGTTATTGATCATTTTCACCACAGATTCAAATGTGCTTACATCCCAGATGAAAGTGTGTGTGTGTATATGAAAGTCTTGTGTTATGGAAAGATAGACTGGGATTTAGGTAATATATACCTAGCAAGTGTGCTCATTTTGGGGTAAAAAGCTTTGAAATTTGTGAGTCATAAACAGGATATGTTTGGGAATTTTAGTTTACACAGGAGCTACAACAGAATATGGCAGTTTTGAAGATGGGCAAGGTGAGAAAGTTGTTCTTACATTATTAGAACTGTTGCTTGGTGAAAATTACAAGGTTTTTTTAGACAGGTTTTTCATCTCACTGACATTAGCAAAAACACTTCTCAATAAACGAACATATGTATGTGGAACCATGAAAAAAAATCGAATTGGAATGCCATGCAATTTTCCTGATTGTAAATTGAAGGAAGGTGAATTTATGACATGTCAGAAAGATGGTTTGTCTGTATTTTGTTGGAGAGATAAGAGGAATGTGTCGATTCTAAGTACAATGAGTAATAATGAATTCTCAGATTCTGGTAAACATAACAGATCAGGAGAAATAATTATGAAGCCGAATTGTATTTTAGACTATAATCGTAATATGGATGGAATTGATCTGTGTGATGGAGTGATACACAATTATCCATGTATGAGAAAAACTGTAAAATGGTATAAAAAAGGTGTTTTTTCACATGTTGGATATTATACTGTATAATGCTTGTTTTGTATTGATAACTAATGAAAAAAACAGATGTCATTTCTTGATTTTCGTATGGTTGTTAGAGAAGTAATGGAAAAGTTTCACACAGGCAGACGTGTAACTCGCCATGGTTGACCATCACATGATAATCAGTTGTGTTTATCCGAATGGCATTTTCCTAGCTGCATATCAACAGGGAAAAAACCATCCAATCAGTGTTTGTAAAGTCTGTTCAGCAAATAAAAAGCAAGTAGTAGAATCACATTACCAGTGTGAACAATGTTCCATTCCACTATGTGTTGTTCCTTGCTTTGAGATTTATCATACAAGTATTAACTTCTGAAATAAAATTTTTCATTTTTACATTTATTAATATGTCTATTTTGTGTGTGCAAAATACAAAGTAATTTGGAACGATAAAAGTTAGGCTTAACATAAAAAAAAATTCAATGTGGAGTGACACGCAACAGAGAAAATATTCAACACGTGATAGGTTAATCTCTAGCTTTGTTCTTGTAATTAGATAGAGGAAAATCAAGACCAGATGTGGTAAGCTTGGGAGCTGAAAATCCCAATTAACTATATAAGAACTTCTACTCTGGACCAGAAGTTACATGATTTCAACTCAAAATTTTTACGTTATCTCAAGAACAGAATTAGGTAGATGAATGAAAATAGAGACCAGATATTATTTATTTAAATAAAATATGATTTTCACAATGCATATAATTAATATGAATTTGTTGTTGTTAAAATAATACACAAAAATAATTCTTAATGAATTTTTTTTGTTTTACCCCCATAATATATATATATATTTGTGTGTATGTTATATACACATGCATTTTTAAACCATACTCCAACTCCAATTATGAAATGTTCATTTTTTTTATGTTAAAAAGTTGGTTTTTTTACAAGTGTTGTCATTGAATGATTCTTTTGTTTCTAAATTCAGTTGGTATTGATGATACAAAATTTATTTGATAATGGTATTTTTGCAGAGAAATGACTAACAGAATAATTATAATAATTAAATTAATTATTGATATTATAAAAGTACATATATATTTTTATCGTTTCTGTATGTAGTTATTTTACAGTTGTTTTGTTTTAAACTACTGTTTTAATATACATATATGTGTTTTTTTCCTAGATTAATTTTTGTAAATAATTTTGCATTTGGACCAAGAGTTGATCATATGGTAAGTATCACTTTTCTGATATGTTACTATTACTAATAATAAATGAAATTACTTGAAACTATTTGTTTGTTGACATAAGATTTTCAATGTGACCACAATATATTGAAATATGGTGATTTCACAAGTTTATTTCATATCTCACTAGATCATTAGAAAACCTAATATGTTTTGATTGTTTTATCCACGAATATAGTGTTTTAGTTATCTAATATACTAATATTTATCAATGATAATACAATAGCAATATTTGACTACATATAACAAAGTTTACTTGTTTAATTCAGTGAAAACTAAAATAACTGTTCTGTGTGTGGACAATTTTTATATTTTACAATTTTTTATTTAAGTACTTTTTTTTTTATAAAATAATTTGTGTATGTTACTCTATTCCAGTTCTTCATATAATGTAATTATATCATTGTTCAATGAACACATTTTCAATTTTATTGATAATAAATATTAAATTATTGTTCAAAATTTAACAAGCTGTATAAATCAAACATTTAAGATTGTATGCATTACATTTTTATGTACAGTATACAGAATTATATGTGATGTATTAATAAGTTTTCTTGTAGTACGAGGTCTGTTCAAAAAATACCTGGACTGTTTGAATTGCACTGCTCCAGTTTGTTCCAGGGGAATCAGCTTGGTGTCGCTAGGTTTGTGCAGATCGTCTGGTGATAAAGCCGTTTTCCAATTACAGATAACTTTATTTGTTGATTAGCTACATGGTTTTTAGTGAAGTGCGATTTTTTTAGTTTGTCAGAATTCAGAATGAATGACCTGATGGAGCAACGACTTACTGTGAAATTTTGTATTAAACTTGGAAAATCTGCAACTGAAACATTTGCTATGCTCAACCAGTAGGTGGGTGAAACATCCCCCAGACCCAAAAAAGCTCGCCAAGTTCGATCCCATGTCAAGGTGATGCTGACAGTTTTCTTTGATGCTAAGGGTATTATTGCTCACCACGAGTACCTCCCCCAAGGCTCCACAGTGAACTAGACTTACTATGTTGAAGTCCTGAAACGTCTGAGGGACGCAATCCATCGCAAAAGGCCAGAAATGAGGAGGAGTGGCAATTGATTTCTCCATCATGACAATGCTCCAGCTCATTCAGCCCTCAGAACTCGTGAGTTTTTGGCCAAACACTCGATCACTGTTCTTCCACACCCCCTACTCACCTGACCTTCCTCCAAATGACTTTTTCTTCTTCCCCAAACTCAAAACACCCTTGAAAGGAAGAAGATTTGAGATGATTCCCAAGATTAAGGCAAATGCGATGAAGGCACTGAAAGACATTACAAAAGACGCATACCAAGTGGAAACACCATTGGGATAAGTGTGTGCATTGGGAAGGAGAGTACTTTGAAGGGGACCCAGACATGTAACTTCTACGTAAAGTACATTTTGTTTTATAACATCAGTCCGCATATTTTTTGAACAGACCTCGTATAGTGTTAATTTGTGTAGAAGCAAAAAAANTTGGAGAACAGTGGGTCATGGTTTAACAACATGGATGATAATGGAATAATTTATATTAATAAACAACTTGTCAGTATATGCAGAAAAGAAAGTTTCACATAGAATTGATCTTTGTTGAATACCAGTTAAACATGGAAAATCAAGAAAAGTAAAATTTCTTCTTTGAAGGGGACCCAGACATGTAACTTCTACGTAAAGTACATTTTGTTTTATAACATCAGTCCGCATATTTTTTGAACAGACCTCGTATAGTGTTAATTTGTGTAGAAGCAAAAAAATAATCTAGTTGATTATATTAATACAAAAGATAAACACACTGATCTATCAGTGTAATCTGAAATTATTTGTTTCCATTTGTCTTCAATAAAAGAGACTTTTGTATTTAATGGTATATTTTGATATGTTAAAGACTGAAATTTGATATCTAATGTTTATCATAATCAAAAATTAGTTATATATTTCCCTTAGACAAACAATGCATCACTTCAAAGAGTAACTTTTGTTTTAAATCTTTTTATGATTAAAGTAATAACACAATACAGTACAAAATGCTATTTAATTGTAACATGTTTTTTTTATTTTTACACTGATATATTTTCTTTAAACAATAGTAAAGTGGATTCAATGTTTTCTAAGAATTACCAGGTCATACAGGAATTATTAATCCAATTAGCAAAAGATATAGTAACCATATTCTAAAACCTTTTGTGACTGATATCTGAGGCAGTATCATCATTGTACTGTTTCTTAAATAAGACCAAAATATAAAGCAATTTGAACAAAACTTAGTAAAAAAAATGTTTGGATTTTACACATATTTACAGTTTAATTACTTTTTAAAAATGATATTAACTATGTTTTCCTATGAACAAATTAAATAATTGATTTTTTTTTCCAGTTAAAAATGAGATTTGCTGAATTAAAAGATACAGCAAGAATCGTTTCTTCAAAAGCCTTCTGTCCTCTTCATTTTCGTATAACTGATAGAAATTTAAGTGGTAAGAAGTTACAGTTTATATTATTAGGTTAAATAATGTTTTTAATGAAAGTTTTTTAAATATTGTTATAAATATTTATTTAATAAATGTCTATGTACAATTTAAGGAAAAACATAAAATAATTATGTAAATACAAAATTAAATCATAAATTCACACACACACATTTTTTCATAAGTTTTGAAAGTAAATAAATAGTATTTAAAAATTTTTAAAACATTCATTTTTGAAGCAATATATGATGGCATAATTTTAAAGTGTTATAATTGAGATGACATAGCTCTTACATATGATATGAATTAAGCATTAATTCATATCATTAATAAAATTGAAAATAATTTTATCAGCTATTGTATTTTTACTGTACGGATGTATATAAGGATTATAATGATAAAATTTTAAATTAATAATGTTAAAAGAAAATAATGTATTTTATTTAAAATAAAGTTTTAAACTTGATAGATAGCAATAATGTGTTAACAAATATATGGCTCTGAAACTTGATTCAATATATTTAAAATATTCAATAAATATAAAGACACTTCTGTATTTATAATTTTTAATGACTGATATTTAATTTTTTTTTATTACAAAGATGTTGAATATGTAAATGAGTAAATTAATATAAATGTTAAAAATTAGAGTCTGAGTAGCTGAATAAACAGGGCATCTGATTGCTCTGAGATATGTTTCTTCTCTTGTTAATTATTAGTTTTTTTTATACTGTTTCTTTTTTCTTTTTATGAATATCTTGTCTGACATTGGATTTCCCTTAATTCACTTTCATTAAAAACAGCATATAGGAGTGATTCTAAATGTAAAGTTAGTTGAGATATTTATTTTAAATTGAATTTTAGAAATGCAATCAGTAAGTTGATTTTCACCCCATTACACAACAAGCCAAAAAAAGATTAAAAATACAATAAAACAGAGAAAATAAACAAAGCTATAACATGATACATAAAATACATACACACTGGAAAGGTATTTTATGTGTAATTTTATATATATTTATTAAAAAATCATATTCAGCAATATGATAAATTAAGGGAGTAATTGTAATATATTGTAAATAGAAAAATATTTAATTGTAAATAGCAAAAAGGCATGAATAAAAATTAAAAATATAATAATAATAAAATGAATAAAGAATTAGAAAGTAAATATTAATCAAAAAGTTATAAGCAGGTATGTCAACATTTTTTATATAATGAGGTAATTTTTTATGAAGTAGACATTCCATCAAGCCCATATTGTCTGATATTCAATAAAGAAAAGAAAAGAAAGATCTGTTTGACAATGACAAACAAAAATGAGGACTGTAAATACCCATAGTGTTGTGGATGTTCTGACGTCATGTGAAATTATTGTTAAAATATTTTAAAAAGAGAATACAATTGAAATATTTGAAGCAATCTGGAAGTCCTGAATCTAACAACATTTGTGTTATTGGTTTGTGATAGGTTACTTACTAAACTTATTTAAAAGTAGATAAAGTTTATTGTGTTCTCTCAATATTTTTGCAAGGGGCTGCAAATGAAAAGACAATTGTTTGAGGGATTGAAAATTTGCAAAGAATATGAACTGTAAAACAGATTTAGAGGATATGGTTTTACAAAAATGCCATAATATTCCATGATGGATAGCCAGTGATTTTACTATGTTGTTTATACTGTTTCTAAAAGTTAATTTAATATCAGAAATAATTCCAAGATCGTTGTGTGTGTTGACATATTCCAATTTGTGAGTATTTATAAATAGAGGTGGTAGGGCAGATTCCTGAGTAAAGAAAAACACGTTATTACAGATTTTGTATATTAATTCTAAGGTTAACTTTACTAAAGGCAGAGAAGAAGAGGTGTAGATTGGATTGGAGAACAGTGGGTCATGGTTTAACAACATGGATGATAATGGAATAATTTATATTAATAAACAACTTGTCAGTATATGCAGAAAAGAAAGTTTTACATAGAATTGATCTTTGTTGAATACCAGTTAAACATGGAAAATCAAGAAAAGTAAAATTTCTTACTTTGATATTGTATAATTGGGTTAAAAAGTTGTTCAGTCAGGAGTGAAGAGCTGGATTAATATCAAAATATAGTAAGACCCAGCTTAATGCTGATTTGATATAATGCAGTCTGCTGGAAGCCTTAAAAAAGCTCAAATTTACGTATATTCAAATTATTGCAGAATTTCATTGATTCATATATAATACAATTATTCCCAAACATGAACCAATCAGCTAAAGGTGGCAGTTTGTCGTAGTGCTGTTTCTTTAGCTTAAATATATGCTTGTTTGGTGCAATTTTGGAAAAAATATAATATTATGGATGCCATAAGCAATATCGGCTTTGTTTGGCAAGAATTAACCAATAAATGCACAAATGAAGTGTGGAAGAAGTTATGGCTGAAGGTATACAAGAATTCTCAATGAGAAGAGCCTGTCACTGTATTGTTAGGTTGACCAAATTGTCAACCTAATCGATACATCAGAACTAGGAGATGTAGACGAGCAGGATATTGATGAGTTACTGCAGGTTTCTGGTTGAGTCTTACCAACGACAACCTTCAAGAACTGGCAGAAGAAGGAACTCATGTAGAACTAGAAAATAGTGATTCTGAAAACAAAGAACCCAAAGAATTTCTCTACAGATTTTCTTAGTAAAAATTTGGTAATGATAACTGAAATTGTTGATCAAATTGTAGCGAATGATCCAGATTTTGAAAGGAGTGCAAAAGCAAAAGGAGGCATTTTGGATACAATCTCTTGTTATTGACATTTGCTTAAGGAAAGAAGAAAAAAGTGAAAAATGAAACTACATGACTTCATTGCAAAAAACAAGAATTTCAGAAGAGTCAGGACCTTCATCACAAAAAATGAACTTTACATTTCTGTGTGCATATGTTTGTGTTATTTAACATATATTATTATGTAAATTAATATAAAAATAACTTAAAGTAAAATCTCCTTATTTTTGGTTGCGTGTTTCCCTTTCCCTATTTACTCTGTGTTAAAATGATCTCATTTAACGCTGTTTCATTTAGCACTTTGTCGTCTAGGAATGTATCCCCCACATTAAGCAGGGTCTTACTGTAGTTCTGAAGCATAGCTAAAAGTATATTTGAAAGTATGGAGTCAAAGGCTTGATTTATGTCAATGTAAGCTGCATAAGTTGATTTTTTTTCCAAAATTTTCAAGGATTATAAACATTGTATCAAGTAAGTTATAATGGTTGATGTATTCTGTAATGTTAAATATATAAAAGTTTTGATGATATCAGAATGTAAATTTTCAAATTAACATTTCAAGTTTTCAATTGAAGAGAGATATTTCAAAAATTTTAAGCATTGCAACAGGTTTTTATTTTTTTGGCTATTTGTGTAATGTTAGATGAATACCATTGTTTTGGTACAAAACTATATTGAAGTATTTTTTAAAAATTCTTGATAAAATTACTGCCATAATCAGCTTGAGTTTTATATATAAAATTAAGAGAGTTGAGTCAGGACTGAAATTGGAGAGTTTTAAGATATCTACAACATCCTTTACTTCTAAAAGAAATAACTGTATTGATAGGTGGCATAAGCATTGTGTGGCATAAGCGTTATATATTCTACCTTGGTATAATTTGGAAAAATTCACTTTAATAGATTTCTAGGCATAAAATATCATTTTGTCAAGAATGGAAGTTGATTTATTTTGAATTCTTTTAGAAAATTTGGGATAAATTCCCAAAACATATAGTGGTTTGGAAGCAAGTGCTTATGATAATATTAAAATAGTTTGGAAATGATGTGTTGCATTCTTTGTAGTATTGTTTTTGCAGAATGCTGTGAATATAGAGTTAGCATGAATTCTTGAGATATGATTTTAATTACATTATTATTATTTTACACTAATGGTTGAGTCATTACATCAGCTGCCCTTAAATATTTTTATGATTTATAAATACTGTGAAATTTAAAAATTAAATCTTTGTTTACATTTCGTTCATTTAAATTTCATAAATTTTTAAAATATATTTGAGGAATAGTCAATAGGAAAAATGTAATCTATATTTTCTTTTGATTTAATAATCATGAAAATATTTCAATTCTAAGATGAACCATGAATTTGTAAATGAATTTTGTTTAAAATTTTTCTCTCTATAAAAAAAATTCTTAATCAGTTTTATTGTTTTTAAGTAGTAAAAGTTTAGGAAAAGAATACAAATGTCATGAAACAGGTAATGTTTAGTAGTTCTGTTTCAATGTCTTTCCTCATATATAATAACTGTTTACTTTAATGATGCATCATAATAATATCTTGTAGTCATTATAAACATTAAAAATAAGTTTAAAACTAAACACTCATTTCTATCCAAGCTCATTTGAAGTAATGTGACTGTTAAGCAATATAGTTGGAAATACTTGCTGTTTGTGCATTATGCACTATGTGACTTTGCATTTAATGATTTCTGATTGCTGTTTTGTACTGTAAATGTAAGACTACTAATTCTAAGAAACATTTCTATTTATAACAAGAAAAATTTGGTAAAACTGTATATTAAAATTAATGAAATAATGGTACTTTTCAATACTTCTTAACCAATTTTCAGAAGTACAGTTTGGTTATTATTATGTTGCAAATAATGTGCTCAGCTGATACTGGTGCCATGCCAGACTAAAGTCAAGGCATTGCTACCCAAACAAGTGTAACATTAAGCTGTGTTATTGGTGTATATGTCAACATCTAGAAACTTCCTAACAATGTGACATGTATTTGATATATGTTTTTATTAAGTTTTAATGTTTCTAGACTTTTGTGTAGTGTATGTGGTGTAATGTGAAAACAAGTGATGTAACTGTTGTCTTTATGCTGTCATGTCTGTTTTGAGTTTTGTGATGGTGTAGTAAGTTCAGATGATAAACTCTTTTCCAATGTTTATTTCATCCTTTGGCATGGTTTATCTGCCTTAGTGGTCAGTGACTGAATTGTCTCAGAAACATCAAAATTAGGCTGATTTCCCAAAACTGGTGTGAGCATTGCAGTAGCCATACTTGGACCTGTGCTGCTTTCACCACTGGTAGCCAAGGGAGACTGACATATTTTTTTGAATGTGAGCCTCTGCCTAACCCATGAGTGCAAACCTTGATAATCCAGGTGATGTCCAAGCCTTTATTAAACTTGGATTGTGTTGTCACTATGGTTAGATCTCCACAGATGTGGGTTCAATGACTTTTGGCTTCATTTCTCCTCACAGACCACACTAGCATGGATGACTCTACCAGGAGTAGATACTCCAGCTAGCATAGCTCTGTGGTTCATCAAAATTACTGATCTCTCACCACAGCAAGGTGGTGACTGGTGAGAGAGATTACTATTATTTGATTTGGTAACAATTTATTTTTTATTTATAAAGTTAACTTCTTTTATGTGCTTTTATTAACTTTTCCATTATTTGAGATATCAAAATTTATGTAAGTCAAAATGTTTGCCTTTAGATATTGGGACAATAATGCATGTTAGAGAAATAACACCTCTTAAAGGATCTGTATCTTGGACTGGTAAACCTGTTTCATATTTTCTTCATACAATCGATAGGACAAAAGTAAGAAGTTTGTAAAAATTAAATCATTTAATTACACTTTTTAGCTATCTCTAACTTATTATTATTATTTGTTATTTTTTAGTTGGAGCATTATTTCCAAAGAACAAAATGTCAAAAACCTAACAATAACAATACAAACAAAGTAAGTCAACATTTGAATATAAAAATTTGTTTAAATTTTAGTATAAATTTTTATTTCAATGAAAATTAGTTTTTATAGACTAAATTATGTAAAATGAATAATTAATATGTACTTGGTTAGTAATATCATGATTTTAAAATTTGATATCAGAAAGAGATTTAATTATTTTGTTCAATAGTATAAAGTATTAACATTTTGTAAACAATTGGTATAATTTTAATAGATTAGTTTATGTCTAATAAAATTGTAATTAGTATTCTTAAAGATGTGTTGATGGAGTATCTTCTGTTAAATAATCAATCCTTTTTTTAAATATTCATATATGTATTCAAAATAATTTAAAAATCTATGAAAAATTAATTTCATCTTTATATAACACTTTAATTTTTTTGTTTTAAGGAGGAAGAAATGAAAAATAAAAAGAATAAAATTCAGATAACTGATGAGAATACCAATGATTCATTCTCAAATCAGTCAAAAGATCAAAATAATATATTTGGACCAACTACAAGAAAAGCATGGTCTGATTGGTGTAATAATAAAAATAAAACCAGCAATAGTAGTGGACAAGATAGTAATGAAGAAAATGGTAAGCTTTTCAGCTTTATAAATTTAATCATAATAATATAATCATTATCCACTCAGAATGAAATATGTTTTTAAATGCAAATGTTTGTCAATATAATTAAAATAAAAAAAAAGATTTCAGTGGATCAAGGGGATGGGGATATAGAAGAGAGTTATTATATTTTGAGTTGGGTCAAACTTAATAAAGATTTTATTCATTATTAGCATTTAAAATTTTTTTGTAAAATTATTATTTACCCTCAAAATTAAGCTTTTTAAACAAATAAACTAAACCTTGATAAATCCAGCTACAAATTTATTGAAATAAAAACATTCTCAATCAGATTTTACTGATCTTCAGTTACAAGCTTTTTGAATTCTTTAGAATGTATAATTACAAATTCAAAATACTGAAGTCGCAAGTACAAAAATTTTAAGAATTAATAATCAAAATGTAATAATTAATAAACATGGAAAATTAAACATTGTAAAATGAGATAAATTAATAAATATCAAACATTTTAAAAATTCATAAGATGTAATTCTTAATAAAATGCTCATAAATTATATTTTGTAAAATGCCTGCCAGGCATTTGATAGGTTTTTCAGCATCTCTGATTGATGCAGTGTGACTTTATAAAATTTGATTGAAAATGTTTTTATTTCAATAAATTTATAGCTGGATTTATCAAGGCTTAGTTTATTTAGGACAATCCNTGGGTTCACTCTAACAGAGTTTGGGAATTATGTAAAACCCTTGTACAACATAAAATGAAATAAAGGGTGCGTTCTTTTATACCTCTGCATAACTCCGCGCAAGCATTCTACTTGTTTTTGTGGCTACTTTGAATTCTCTTTCAATAAATAATCCATTTAATGGTTAAATTTTACAATTGGGACCCTTCTTTTGCCTCTAAAAGCTCATTTTAGAATTATAGATTCCTCCATCACGATACTATCGATAGCGTGGGTGCCGCCATCTTTCTTTCACCGTCGTTCCTAAATGCCTTCAAACAACAGCGCCCTTCCGTTGCAGAGTGACTGCTATTAACGAACACACCCAAAAACTGTTATCAGTTGATGATGCTCATGCTGAGATCATCATATAGGATGAATAATCCTCTGGTAAAATATTTATTTAAATAATAAATAAGTATTTCACCTATGAAAAAAATAAATAATAAATCCAATTTAAATAAGGATTTAACAGCATGTTTTTTAATTTTTGGAACCTAACCCCCCTTTTTGCACTAGTTCTTTGTTTCGTGTAACACGAATTCACATAACATGGCAATTTTTTGGAACGTAACTCCCGTGTTATATGGGGTTTACCTGTATTAGTAATAATAGTAGTAGTAAATAGGCTGCACTGATAATCTTACCCCTGTGGTCTGCAGAACACAGGTGATCCATGAAAAAAAATCAAATATACAATGAAAAATTGTTACAAAAGGAAAATCAATAAAATGTAAAATAACTTTTTGTATGGAAATGTAATCAGCAAACACCAATGACATCATATAGTAGACCGAGTGCACTCTTGATTTCAAAAAGGTTTGCACCCCTGCTTTAAAGCTGATGTATTGTAACTGTTCCATGGAAAAAATGTCAAAGTTTAGTGTTCCCCGACTTCAAAAAGATTAAGAACCACAGGTCTATCCTGACCCTGAAAGATAACACCTTCCTTTCATATTTCACACACAGAAAATGTTAATCTTTGTAAGTTGAGATAATTTACAGTGTCTGAAATTTAATATGTTTATTTTATTGTAATTTCATCCAAAACTGCAAAAACATTAAAAAAGCACTTTCAGTATTCCATGAAAGTTCCAGTTAGAAAGAAAACAAAATGCAAAAATTAAACATATAATTTAATTTTTGATGTAGTGCTGAGAGTTTTAATTTTAGAATAAAAACTGTTGTCTGAGTTTCACACATCCTCTGGAGAGGGATGTATAACCTCACTTAAATTGGCATTCCCTGGGATAAACAGGCATGTTAGTTTTTACCATACTAAAATATATATATTAATTTAAAGAGGGTTTGAGTCTATAATACTTAGTTTGAGTAAAAATATAGTTCAGGTATCAAATTAAAGCTCTTATACTGTTGATGATGATGCTGAAGAGAGATTTGAGAAAGTGCAATATTTCAGGCATGACAGAGTGGCAAAGGCACAATGTTAAGTGTACGAAAAGGCAAGCTGCTTAACTAGCGATTTAGTTTTTAAAACATTAGAGCACATGTGGCTCATCCCTACTCTGAATTCTTGTTGCTATTTTTGGTTTTCTAATTACATGTTAATTAAAAAACTTTTTTGCAGTATTTTAAACACTTACACTATCTGTTTAAATAATAAAATAAACTTTAGTCCAAAAATAGAAATGATTCTGAACTATTTTAATTTTTTAACATCTGTAATACTGTAATAAAAAAGCTTGTACAGTAGAGCGTCGTTTATCCGAAAGTTGGTTATCCAAAACGTCAATTATCCAAAAGAATTCCAGTTGGCTAATTTAAATTTTTGCTAGTGCTATGGTGCTGCAATCTTTGGCTATGTCTTGGGCTACTCCAATATTTTTTATGTTTATGTATGTGTTTTAGCTGGCAGCACTGGTACTTTTGTGTGTGGTTTTTCTGAGGACTGTGTGTTGGGATGTGTGTAATGCTAAATCAGACGTTTTTGATACTAGATTAACTTCTAAAGTATAATTTTTTTTCTGTTTTTATTTTTTCAATATATTTATTTTGTTTGTACAAAATAAAGAAATAATTTTTAACGATACAATAGCCACGATTATTATTTAAAAAAATTTAAATTACGCTTAACATGGATGAAAATTCAATGCAAAGCGACACACAACAGAGAAAAATTTCAACATAAATAGGTTAATATATTTTTTCGTTCATAATCAGTTATCCGAACAACTCCAGTCCCCAATTGATTCAGATTAACAACGCTCTACTGTATTAGAAAGTGGCTGAGAAAATAGGAACCTAAATGAATACCTGATTAATAAGTCAAAATCAATAAAAGTCTAATCAGCCACCCAAGAAAAAGAATAATTTTTTTTTAAAATAAATTTTAAAAATATTTGATTTGGGAAATTTTAAATCGTTCACTATTCACCTGACTTAGTGCCTTTTGATTTTTATATATTCAGATCATTATATAAAACCATTTAAAAAAGTAAAAAATTTTAAAGTTTGAAAAATTGAAATGCGATATAAAATCGTTTGAGTCAAAACAAAAAANTTTATCCGAAAGTTGGTTATCCAAAACGTCAATTATCCAAAAGAATTCCAGTTGGCTAATTTAAATTTTTGCTAGTGCTATGGTGCTGCAATCTTTGGCTATGTCTTGGGCTACTCCAATATTTTTTATGTTTATGTATGTGTTTTAGCTGGCAGCACTGGTACTTTTGTGTGTGGTTTTTCTGAGGACTGTGTGTTGGGATGTGTGTAATGCTAAATCAGACGTTTTTGATACTAGATTAACTTCTAAAGTATAATTTTTTTTCTGTTTTTATTTTTTCAATATATTTATTTTGTTTGTAAAAAATAAAGAAATAATTTTAATGATACAATAGCCACGATTATTATTTAAAAAAGTTTACTTTAGGCTTAACATCTATGAAAATTCAACATGAAGTGACACGCAACAGAGAAAAATTTCAACATGAGATAGGTTAATATATTTTTTCATACATAATTGGTTATCTAAAAAATAAGTTATCCGAACAACCTCAGTCCCAAGTTGATTCAGATAAACGACGCTCTACTGTATTAGTAAAATAAACACATGTATTCTTCAATGCTAAAAAAGACAAAAAGACAATAAATTAATTAATTTTGTCAACATTGACTGTAGGGTCAGCTTTTATTATAAACTGTAGCTTTTATTATAAACTGTAGCTTTTATTATAAACTTTACTAAAAACTGTAGCTTTTTAGTGCCAATCTCTGCTTTTATTTTACCATTACTCTGTGACGAGACCAAAATGTGAAAAAATTATTTATTATTTTTATTGTTGTTCATTTTCTTTGATTAATTAATAAATAAAAGAATCATTCTGTCTTTACAAAGCTGATGTCTTTGACAAAGAATTATTCTAAATAACAATAATACATAGAGCACTGCACTCACCTTACCTAACCCTGACATTTTCCAACATTTTGCAACACAAAACTTTGGGCTGCTGAAAGCAAAAGCAGAGTTCTAATATATAGTGAAATTTCTATGTATTAATTTTTAATCTGTTTTATAGTAAATTTAACCAAGTATATTAATTTATCATAGATATATTGAATTAAACTTCTTACATAACATATTTAAAAACTAAATGCATTTTAAAATTATTCATTAATTTTAATTTTTTGTTTTCAATAGCTACTACAAGATCAGAGCCAGCTCCTGGATGCATTGACAAAAAATTAGCAACTAAAATTGAAAATGAAGTTGAAGATGATGATATTCCACAAAGTCTTTTTACTCTTTTAGATACATATAAAAGTCAAATGATTCAATTTATTAAATACATGAAATCATCAAACTATCAGTCTGAAATAAAAAAGGAAATTGAAAAAGAAAAGGTTGGTTTGTATGCTGAATTTAAAATATATTCAGTTATAAAAAAAAAGACAAATGAAATTAAAATTAACAATAATGTATATTATACTTATTTTAAATTTTTAAGTAAACTTTAGAATTTAAGTCATTGTTAAGTGTTATACAGTTTATGTAAACAAATCATTTAGATGTATATTATTTAATTGGAATCTTTATTTTTTTTTATATGATAATTTTCTTACTAATGGTTGTAAAGTTTATATTTCAATTAGCATTCATAAATTGTTTTAATAGACATTGCTTACAAATTGATAGTTTTATCAATAAATTGAGAAAAGAAATCAGATATTCTTTTATAAGCAATAGTAGATATTCAAGTGAAATATGAATATTCTTTGTATATAAGAATTTATTAAAAATTTTACACATAATAAGTTTAGGCTATGTTCACATATGCATATGGGCACACAGCATAAACTTATAACTGTTGCTTAATCTGTTATTAGTATCATATGTTACTGCTTTTGGTTGACAATGTTGTGTTGTGTGTGCAAGTTGAATTATTTCTTTCTTTGAATGTTTTTTTTATACTTGCTATTAGTTATGCTTGTTAATTGTATAGAAGAAGCAGAAATATCAGACAAAGGAGGAATACCACACTGCTTTGTAGAGCATTTTGTAAGAGAGACATTAATAATTTTATTGTTAATTAGCATATTAAAATAAATACAAAACAAATGTAATTTAATTAAACTGCTCAAAGTTAACATTGAATCATCAATATTCAAATTATTTAAAATTTTTAAAAGCTAGATTTTTAACAATTAATTTTTAGTATATTTCTAGGAAAAAATTTCAGATTGCTATTGCAACTGCAATGTTACTTTGCTCCTGCTAAAAGTTTTTTTGATGATGATGATATGCTTACTATAATACTTTTAAAGCTAATCAAATAAAAACTTGAATTTAAAGTATTTTTAACTGATTAGATTTCTGGATGATATAATATGGAATGTATGATTGTAGAATATAATACAGAATCAATCAGAATGTTGAAATGTTATGAACGTACTCTGTCTCTTCCTACTGTTAATAAATTATTAAAATATTACAGCAGGTCTTATTTTACACAAAATTGAAATAAGAGGATTTTTGTTTTCTCGGATGTCAAATGGTTAGGTTAACCTACTCCTAGTACTCTTTGCCAGTAAACTGTGCTTCTTTAGCTTCTGATACACTGGACATTTAGAACTACTGAATGTTACCCATTGTAGTGTGAATACAGTAGAGCGTTGTTTATCCAAAAGCATTCCAGTCGGCAAATTTAAATTTTGTTAGTGCTGTGGCACTGCAATCTTTGGCTATATCTTGGGCTACTCCAATATTTTTTTTTGTTGGGTGTGTGTTTTTTAGCTGGTAGCACTGGCACTTTTTTGTGGTGTTTTTCTGATGACTGTGTGTCATGCCGAATTGAACATTTTTGATACTAGATCCTCTTCTAAAGTATATTTCTATTCTAAAGTNATATCTACCATGTTATACAAGAGATATCTGTACAGCAGTATGCATCAATATTTTGTTCTTAAATTTAAATATATAGTAGAGCGTCAATTATCTGAATGCCAATCAACTAAAACATTGGTTAATTGAAAGCGTTCCAGTCGGACCGTGTCATGCTGAATCGAACATTTTTGATACTAGATTAACTTCTTAAGTATAATTTTTTTTTGTTTTTATATTTTTCAATATATTTATTTTGTTTGAAAAAAATAAAAAAATAATTTTTAACGATACAATAGCCACAATTATTATTTAAAAAAGTATATGTTAGGCTTAACATCGATGAAAATTCAACGCAAAGCAACACACAACAGAGAAAAATTTCAACACGGGATAGGTTTATATATTTTTTCGTACATAATCGGTTAACCAAAAAATAAGTTATCCAAACAACCCAGTTCCCAATTGATTTGGATAAACGATGCTCTACTGTACCTTGGTTTGTATACAAACCAAGTAATGTACACGATGTGATGATATAAAATTTTGTTCTGTATAATCAGAAAAATCAGACAAAATATTATTCATTATAGTAAAAACATACTTAAACATTTTAGCAATTTACATTTAAAAAATTTTTTAATTGTAAATTGTTACATACCTCTAGGTAATCATCTGAAACTACTTGGGGTGGAGTACAAACTCACAATTCTTTATTTGTTAAATTAATTTTTCCAATAAATAATATTAATAAAATATTACTATTATTAATAGTACTGGTTTTAATAATGTACTAAATTGCAATTTTTTTGAACTGTATAGCAGTTTTCATAGTAATTTTTTTTTTAATTAGGTTAAAAATTTTTAAGCATTTTTTATTATTGTTTATTTGTATGGAAAATATTTTATTGTATAAAAAAATTAAAGATTTTAGAAAGGAGAATTAATTTAATAATATGAATTGGTAAAAAAGAAACATGATTTAATGTAGTTAAATGAAAATCTTATATCAGTGATTCATTAGTATGGTTTATTAATATTATAGGTTGTTTTTAATTAATTAATTTTATTATATATAAATTGTTTTTGTTTAGGAAAAGAAAAAAACCCTATCAATTAAAGCTTCCAATTTAGAAAACCAGATTCGTTACATAACAGAAAGCAGTATTGATCTCCTTAACACTAGACTAAAGGCAATTGGGTTTACAACTGATATATCAGTTGAACTTCTCAATCAGGTAAGATTTTAAGTTTATATATAAATTTTATATTATTATTAACTTAAATTAATAAGAGTTATGCTAAATTAAGAATTTTACTTTAATTTAGCATGTCTACTAATTTTATCTGATATATTTCACTTTTTCCCTTATTTGATTATGATAGAATATTTATTTAATTAATTTAAGCTAGGAAAGAAAATACAGGGTGGGAAAGAAAGTGACTTAACATCCTGCTATGAATATAAAATGCACCCAAAGTTAATTTGCTCATGTCAGGAACACATTAGACCAAGGGGAAAACAGATTGATGTGTTACATGCATGGTCACCATCAAATCCGCGACCATATTAAATTGCAAAACCAAAACTGTAAATGGGAAGGGGGTCATGTGACACATCATTTACGATCAGAACTTCACAAGGAATTGTTTGCTGAAAGATTTATTGACCTATCTCATAGTTACACAGTTATTAATGTGTTTCCTTTGTTGTTATAGGTGTGAAGAACAGACAACACAATTCCCTTGATGGGAACACAATTCCTATGGGAAGAATGTATTGAAATTGTCCTGGTGGCAGAGGAGAGAAGTTCTGGGTTGATTGCACAGGCTTGATCATTTCTTATCTGGACTGATCCTGTCTCCCTAAATTTCTGGAGAAGGTTGGCAACTGCTACATGTGGCATGAAGTCTCAATGTGGATGACATTGATTAAAATCCTGTGCAATCACCCTAGAACTTCTCTTCCTTGCCATCAGGACAATTTTGATGTATTCTTCCTGTGTTAGGAGCATTGTGTTGTCTGTTCTTCACACTTGTAACAACAAAGGAAACACTTTAGTAACTCTGTAACCATTCAAGGTAAGTCAATAAATCTTTTTTTCTTGTGAAGTTCTGTCCCTAGATGATATGTCACATGACCCCCTTCTTATTCACAGTTTTGGTGTTGCATTCAAGATGGTAACTGTGCACATAACACACATCAATCATTTTTCCCCCTTGGTGTAATGTGTTCCTGACAAAAGCGAATTAACTTTTGGTACATTCTACACTCTATAACAGGGGGTGTTAAGTAACTTTCTTTCCCCCTGTATACATAAAATAGAGCCTAAAATGTTAATAGAAGTAGAAAATGAATTTTTTTTTTTCTGAATTTTTATTGAAACTGACATATAAATTGAATAGAGCAAGATTTTTACTTTTTTGCTCAATAATTTTGTCATATATGGTGGCCAGTAAGAAGAGATTTATGCAATAATGAATATCGTCAAATTTCATAACTGAACACACATAAAATATGTACAATATTTATATGGATTTAATTTAAATGTAATCTTTACATTATATTTTTGAAAAAGTACTTTAAAACTAACAACTGGGCCAATACCAAAACTTGCTTTTTCTTATGTTTATTTTTATCATTTTCTCTGATTACTGTTCTTAATTATAAAAAATAGTTCTAGGATCTGCCTGTCTCTTGATATATTATATCTTAAACATGATTTGTGATTTTAGGGTATCTGAAAATTGTTAAATTCAAAAAGTTTGCTTAATCTTATAATATTAGTTAAGACAATTAGATGAATTGTCTTCATATTGACTTAACTAATAATATATAGTAATATATAAGTAAAGTAAAACCTGAATAAAATGGAAATTTCCCTAAACAGAAAAGATTCTTCAGAAGAATTTCTATTGCGAAATGCATTTTGCAATAAATACATAAGAAAGGAAAAAAGTGTTTCAATTTCTTTGTTCTGTGACTGTCCAGTGTGATAAGTCTGCCTACAGGAAAGTGCACCAGCACCAAATATAATAAATAATTTATTTTATCTAACTCAAAACCAAGAATTAGTTGCCATATAATATCATCTTTTAAAATATCCAAAGGAAGAATTTCTTAGAAGAAAAACAAACAAAATTTTAAATTTTTTTTTTAATTTATCACATTATGTGGTCTTATAAAAATTCAGATTTTCTTAAACAATAATATTTGATGGTTTAAAACCTACTGGCCAAAATATGAAAATCTTTAATATTCAAAAAAATTATATAATTTATGTACTTTTCTGTCATTTGCAAAGTAGCTGGTTTACAGTGTTTTCATAATCCATCACTCATTTTGATGAATGTTTATCATCATCATGCTTGTTTGTATTGTTTGTTCATATAATCTATCAATACTATGTAATACTATGCTAAACTTTTTGTAATAATTTTCAATATTGTTAAAGGATTTATTCTTCAAATCACTTATCTTTAATTTGTTGATTTATCTTAACTCTTCAAGTTCTGAAAATTTCTTTTTTATATATACCTGGAGATGAAATTGTTTTTACTTCTCAGGCTATGAGGGAAGTTTGTATAACACAATTGAAATTACTTTTGGCTGATTTCATTTTGAATGAAATATGCTGATTTTGGCACATTTTGTATTTTTAAAGACTCAACAAAAATATGATTAAGTTAGCCTAAATACAGTAATGCTAGATCATTTTAAATTAGCATAAAGTTCCATATCAGTGTGACTTAACAACCTGCAGCCCATGAGGTCCAAATATCTCAGGCTTTGGCAATATAATTTTATTATTATTTTTTGTTTTATTCCATTATGCAATCCTAATTTAGCTGATATTCATAACAAAGAGTATTCAAACTAAATTTGACTAGTGAAAAGTTGAGAATAAACTATGTTACTAATTTTCTTATTATTAGAATATATTAGTTACTGTACTTAGTGTACTGTTAGTTTACGAAGTATATTGGTTCTCAGCAGGCTACATAAGAAAAAATGTATACAGCTTGCCAGAAGCCTATAAAGTTCCTTCCTGTTCTCATTCAGAAAAGATTGCTTATCACTAATATAAATCTTAAAAAAAAAATTATGATTTATGTTCTTGTATAACTTATAATTTTACAAAATAAATTTTTTTTATTGGATACAAACTCATCTATTGAAATCTATTATATCAACTGAATTTGAAAAAATGTACTGAGAGCAAATATTTTTATTATTATTTGTAATCATAGGAGGTGTTCAGTTACCAATTTTTTCAGTTATTTTCCTGTTTTAATTTTATTTAAGGTATTGATTGATCCTGTTTATGATCATGGCCAGCAAAATCAAGTTGATGTTAATAACTGATCAATGTTTTCATGTTTTATAATAATTGATATTTGTTTGATTAGATGCATATTCATGCTAACTCAGCTATATTACCAGTGAAATTGATATTTTCTAAAAGTGAGCTTTTTACTATACAAGTAACTTTGAAACATAAATATTCATAAAACATTTTTTTCCAAATATAGAATTTTAGCTAACTTTAATTTCTGACAATTTTATATTGACATTATTCACATAATCAGTCAATTGCCAGAGGCTTCTGGCAATCAGTCAATAAAAATAGATTATTGACTAAATTTATAACTTTATTATTAATTTAGAATAATTTCTGTAAAACTTGTTGAATTTCAAAGAGGTTATTAAAAAATCATAGATTTTTTTTAATGGTATCTTTTGAAAATCATACAAACACAATTCTTCTTCAAATAGTAAAATAGTTTTCATTAAGAATCGGTAGTAAATGGATGCCAATACATATTTTTTCATTTCAAATATAATAAATTTAAATAATTGAAATTTGTATGTGACATAAATATTTAACAGATATGCACAGATTTAAGATATAGAGACTGAGATAGCAATGACGAACATAGGTACAAATATATTATATTGTACTAACCAAATGATTACAATTATTTAAATATATCAATTATTTAAATAGAATTATTCATTTGGTATTAATTCTTTTAAACTTGACATTTTTTTATACTACATTGTACAATTGGAAAAAACTTCATAAACAAAGGTTAATTAAAAACAAGAACCATCCATAAGACAAGAAAAATAATTTTTAAGATAGTAATTCTATGTTTGTTTGATTTTAATATTAATAAGCTTGGATAAAACAATGATGTATAATAGGCTTGAAAAATATTTGATCAAGTAATAAACTGATTCCTTAAAAAATTATTAGATTTGTATCTTATGGATGATATAAATATGGAGTTTAAAATTTATTATTTTCAGATGGCACTTGTTAATTTGTTTTTGTTCTTTCTATATATATATATAATACAATAAATGCAATGTAGATTGTTTCCTTTCAAATTATGTAGTGTAAGTTCTTTAACACACAGATTGCAACTCTTACAGAAAAATTGAATAATAGGCTATTATTAACCTATTAAATTTGAATGAGTTTGAAATAATTTTCTTGTTTATAAAATATGCTTATAAGGATGTTAATTTTGGGTAGTTATTTTTTTTATCTAGATAATAATTTTCAAATACTTTTTTCTTAGTGCTTCTCAGAAATGATATCAATTTTTGAGCACTAACTGTTTTATTTATTAGTAAATTTTATAGTTTGTTTTGAATCAGAATAAAATGGTTTGACTAAATGTAGATTGGAATATATATAATTATATCACTAAAAACATTCTCTGTAAAGATCTGTTTTCAATGAAAACTTTGAGTATTTTTTTAAAATTAAATAGGTAAGAGATATTTGTTTACTTGACACTTTGAGATTTTTATTGTAATGAGATATTTTTATTTTTTTCCTCAATGATGATAGCTTATTTTTACCAAATCTTTGAAAATCAGATAACATCATTATTATTGCCATTTAAAGTTAGTCATTTCTGTATTATAATTTGTCGTTTATTTTGATGTATATCCTAAACCATATATAGTGTGCTTTTATTGTATATTGATATTTTTGTCTTCATTTTTATTGTGTGTTTAACCTTTAGTGTTAATAGAATGTCAGCTTTGTTTTCTATTTCTTACTCTCTATCTATAGTTCATTCATGAATTTGTTTATAAGCCAACAACTCACAGATGGTAATTGTTTTTCACATCATTTTATCTTTTGAAATGAATTTTATGATCTTATGTTGAAAAAACAGCTAAATATCATTTACTAGAAGTTCTAAAAATAGAAAGCAAGACTCTTAAAACATTAATTCTGAATTAAAAATTTCATTTTTTTCAAAAGTTTAATGAAAGACTATAGGCACTACAAAACTGCAATTTATATATTAAATAACTAAATTCATAATTTATTTTATTCTCTGTTATATAGATTGAGAAACTATGGTCTAGTCTATGAATCAATTCCAGACAGTAAATACACACAAAAAGTCCTTGACAATGCACTATGGTCTGAACACCCAAATTTTTGGCCAAAATTAAGAAACTGTGTAATTTTTAGGATAAGCATTTACTTACTTAATAAAATTATTTACTATTATACAAAAATTGCATATATTTTCTTGAATTCAATGAACAATGTTATAAAAAAGTAAAATCAGTACATGTTTAATATAAGTATTCAAACCCTTACAATATTATTACTCCAATTGTAATTCTAAGTTATCTAGTTGTTCCAAATCACAAAAGAAACTACTTTCAACTTCAGGTTCATCATATTCTTGAACATCTGAGTCATCTGCAACAAGTTCAGAGAAGAATGCTGAAGACCGAGGTTCCCTTTCAGGTATACATAACAAAGCAATAACTTCTGCAGGTAGATTCAATCTTTTTTTTAATTGTAAGCAATTATTAAGTCTTATACTTGAAATAATGGGATATGAAGTGTCTATTGCTCTGTTGAAAACATCTTGCAGATTTTTAACATGAGTGTTCTTTTTGGCATGGTATTTCTTATCCTTTTTATAAAGTTTATTTTGTGACTCAGCGTCATCTTCTCCAAAATATCCAGCAAGTAGTACAGTATCGGCTAGGATTCACTTTCCATAAATGAGTATTTTGTGCACAATTGCAGTCATTGGATATCATGGAAATTTTTCTGAGGGTGGTTTGAAAACAAAAATCTTCAAACATATTTATTTAAAAGATATTGGCATGATAGATTAATCAAAATAATTTGGAAATTCTTAATTAACTGCAGATTAACATTTGTAATTTCAGAAAGTGCTGGTTATGAAAATGCACAATGGGCTGTATTTCAATCGTTAATGGAGCCAATTCCATTGATTCTTGGTTTTGTCTATATGTAAATTTGCTTTTTCCCAAAATCTCTTTTGAATTTGTTTTCATTCTTTTAACTTTTATTTCTCTATATTTTCTTGTATTTACCATTTTTTTAAATTTCCTGCTTGTATGAAATATGTAAAATAGATTCGATAAACCTTATCCAGCAATGAAATGCTGTACTATAGTGTATTTGACTTTGGTTCAATTACTTCAGAGTTGAAATCATTGATTCCCAAAAATTTCATTGTAGTAGCTCCACAAATTAGGTAAGCTTGATTTGGTTTTAGTGCTCGTTAATACATGCAAACTTCCATCAATTATCATCATAAATAATTCATACTTGATGCGGATAATCTTTTATTTGTCATTTCTATATCAATAGCTTTTAAGTTGTTTATTTTCTTTTTCCTTTAAAATATGCTCTTTCGCTCCTTAACCTATTTCAGCTTCAAGGGCCTATAGAATCCAACTAATTGTGGCATTTGATTATTCCACAAAACCATGTTGTTTTCTGCACACAAGCCTTAAAGGAATCAGTCATAGCAAATAAACTAGAATATATGGTGCTTGAAGTTCCTGATGTATTAAATTTTAGTTTATAGTTTGACTGTCCAATAAATAGTTAAAAATCATTTGGGGATATAGTTCATTAGTTTTATTTAGATAGTTAGAAATGCATCCTTACCTAAATTTGAAGGTGTTTATTAAAGACTAACTTTGTTTTGTAAAAGATCTGGTCTTTTTTCTGTTGGGCTTGGCATGATAAACCCTCCAAATTGTTAAATCCTATTTATTAGGCTATCTAACTCTATCTAAATTAAAGTTGTGGGCTAAAAGCATCGTTTATTATCATTAGTTTTAGTTGATACCATGGCACATAGAATCAGTTCTTGTAAATGACTAGTCTTTTAACAGTATGCTCCAAAAGATTAATTATGGGCTCTTTAGCTACAGTATCAGTGACTGACAATTCTTTCACTCTGCATTTAGATTTTGCTTCTAGTATTTTTTCATAACTCAGTGCAATGTCCAAAAGTTGTGAGATGTATCCATGTTTCACGTTGATATATAGGTATCCCTTATATAACATGGAGTTATGTTTCAAAAAAGTGCTGTGTTACATGAATTCATGCTATATGAAACAAAGGACTAATACAAAACATGTAGTTAGGTTTCAAAAGTTAACAAAAGTACATTATTCTTTATCTTTACTAAGAGAAATACATTTATTAAAGCAATCAATATTTTATTTCCAATTGATAATTAATTAACTATTGAAATTAAAAGAACTGTATTACATGTTAATATTAATTTTAGTTAAATGAGGTCATTTTCGTTTTACAAAATATCATCATCTGAGCTTTTCTATTTATGTTTATCAGAATTATCAGCAACACTTTTATTATTTTTTAAAATTTTTATCATAAAAATTTTTATGGATGACCAAAAAAAAAAAATGTTATTAATCAAAAATTTGTTCTAGTGAGTTTTGTTTGTTCAGTGGAGTACTGAGCGATTTCCTCCCTCCCAGATTCTGTGTTCGAATGCCAAATTGTTTGAATTGGAAACAGTTTGAGTACCACAAAACCACTATATTTCATTTGTCATTTCTACAAATGATTATTTACCTATGGTTAAAAAATAATTTAATAACACTTTTGTAATCTTTCTCCCATACAGATATGGTTTGTAGTATTTGACAGCCCAAACTACAGCTAAGCATTTTTTTTTGATAGTGTTATAATTATTTTCAGGTTTCTGTAGTGTTCTACTAGCATAAGTGATAGGTAGTTCTCCACAATCATTTTTCCTAAGATCAGATGGCATCTATAGGCTCATTAAATGCATCTGATGCTAATATAAAGAGATTGGAAAAGTCGGGTGATTTTAACAGTGGGGCTGAAGTTATTATTTCCTTAAGTCTTTCAAAACTGCATTTCTGCTCCTCATCCCATTGGAATTTGGTATCTTCTTTAATAATTTTGTCAAGGGTTTTGTAATATTTGCATAAGATTTTGTGTGTCATCTATAGTATCCAGTAAGTCCTAGGAATGATTTAATATCATGCTCATTTTTTGGTCTGGGGGAATTCAAAATTTCTTATTTTATCTGGGTCGGGCCTTATCCCTTCATCTGCTACCCATGTCCCAAAAACTTGATTTGACATTGAAAGAAGCAACATTTCTTGAGCTTCAGTTTTAGACCAGCCTCTGCCAATCCTTTAAAGATTTGTTCCAGCTTTGCTAAATGATTCTGGAAGTCAGAACTAAAGTTTAGAAGATCCATATAGACCAAACAAGTCCTTCTTTTTAATCAATGGAGAATGAAATCTGCTGCCCTTTGCCAAAATGCTGGGGCACTGCAAAGGCCTATTGGCATTCTGTTCCAATAATAATGACTGTCAGGACTGGAGAATGTCGACTTTTCCTTGTTGTGCTAATTGCCAAAATCCTGAGTGTGTCTATGGTTGAAAAGTATTTGGCTTGTCCCATCAAATTAAGTGCTTCTTGCTCCAATGGTGAGGGATATAGGTCTATTTTAGCAATCTTATGTAATTTCCAGTAGTCAACGACCAGGCAAAATGTTTTGTCCTTTTTCTTGACTCTGCGATTGCAGAGTAAAGAAAAAGGACGATACTGGAATACTTCTCCCTTTTATGATTTTTGACCAAAAAAAATATTATAATATTAAATTGGGTTCTCACTAATTAAATAATTCACACTAGTTTGAGTTCTCGCATCTACCTAAACACGTTTAAATAAACTTTAAAGATTAATTTATAAAAACAAAACACCAAGACAGTCTTAAAGGCTAAAATCTGAAAGGAATGACAATGACACTGGTTGATAGGAATGCTAGAACAAGGAAGAAAAAATTGCACTATTGGTTTTTGTTAAATCTGATGAAAGACTCAAAACAAATTGCAAATTTCAATATTCTAAAATCTGTAGACAAATTCGAGACAACACAATGCTTGCTTGAAGAAAAAAAATATCAATAACAGAATTTGTACTTAAAAATTTTGAGATTTTGTACAGATAATTTCCTGAACCATGTTAGAGCAAAACCGTGTTGTACAAGTGATACCTGTGCTGCTGTTTGCTTATATTATTATCCAATATGAAAGCCAATGCTTCTTCTGGCGTGTATCTTAAATGGGTCTTTTCTTTTTGAATTAGCATTTTTCTGATTTTAGATGCATCTTATGAGAATTTTTGCAGTCTTTTTTAATGCTACAACAAAATCATTTTTTCCTTTTTGCCAAGCCATACGCTTGCTGCTTCAACAATTAACTTTGCTTCATCCTACTTTTTTCAATAATGCTGCTGCAGCCTTTTTCTGTTTATCAAGCTGATTCTTTGTAATGAAGACATGATCATTCTCTTATATGTGTTTGAAATTCCCTTGAATTTATCATCATTTTATAAGTTACTTCTGCCTTAAGCCACTCTGTATGTTTCTTTCTGAATGTGTCTAGAATTGTTACATGCCTGCCAGTTTGAAGAAGTATTACCATACCATTTACGAACTACTTCTTCTACCTTAAATCTTGATGTAGATCATTCTCATTGAGTCGAGTTAAAATATTGTTGCGGAAACAAACAGCAACCAGTTGTTGGAAACACAAAGGGGTATTTATTCACTCAGAGAACGTACAACTACTGCAGCTTGCAGTACAAGAACAAGAACCGCTCTCAACCTGAGAGCTCTCTGTTATATACTACAGAGACATGGTAGAAATATGTAAATACTAACAAATTACCATGTGTTCTCAGACCAGGAGAACGTACCCACAAAAAACCCGCATCAATGAGGTTCGAACCAGAGACCCTCGCTCGATAGGCAAAGACGCTAACCCCTACACCATGAATGACACTGTGGGTAGAGCGAGCAGTGGCAATATAATTCAAAACCACCAATATTTTATTGCCTTGGTGTTTTTCTTCATACCACAATTCAAACAGATGTTCCCTTAAAATGGAAAAAGTAAAATTGGAGGCAGGCAGGAGCAGATGTAATTCCAATTTTCTTGTTTAAAAGGATTCATTTTAACAATATATAAAATCTACAAGGGTAGCATATGCTAGTGATTTTTCTAAAGTTTATGTGAAGTTTTACTTTAGGAAATTAATATAGGAAATTTTTACTTGATTAATTAATATTCTGATAGTTATTAAAATTGAAACACTTTTATTTGTAATATAGTCCAGTTCAAATACACACTTGTATCAATACGTTCCATTTTGAAAGACATAGTTGTTCACTCCTTACTACCAATACTCCTTGCTTTGACATATGCTAACTTGAAAACAGCCAAATGTCAGATGAGGGTATTAGCCTTACAGAGTTGCTGAAATGAAATTCAGGGAAATGTACTAAATGTAAAACATGGGCTTTGGCCAAAATTTTGACCTTTTTTGACCATAGTGCAATGATGTAAATTATATTATAGTATTTATTTTAAATACAAAACTGATACTTATATAAATACTTTTGAAA